TTATTTCATTTATAATAATATAATATATCAAAAATATTATCAAATATTTTAATGGAATAATTAGAAAATCAATTAAATTAAACTTTATAAATTTTACAAAAATATATCTTAATATTATTTATTTTATTATTATTTTTATTTTTTTAGAAATAATCAAAATATAATATATAATAATAATTTTCAAAGATATAAATCAATATAATTAAATTATTAGCAAATTTATATTATAAATATATAAAAACTTTTATTTACCGAAACCAAATCTATTTATAATTAATACATTATTATCTATAATTAATACAATATAAATCAAAATCATAAATAATCCTTAATATTTATTTATATCCTATCCAATCAAACAATATAAATAAAAAAAAACATCTATATATTCCCTTCCTTTTCTTCTATCTCCCGTCTCTACCTTCCGTCGATGCCAAATAATACGACCGAAATAAATATATTAATTCTCGATAAAATATTTTATCCACAAATATGCAACAAACAAAATAAATATTAAACAAATAACAAACAACAACAAACAAACAATAAATAATTTTTAAATAAATTATTAATTATACATATTAAAAAAATAATATATTTTTATTTTTTTTAAATAATTTCAAATATCAAAAATTAAAATAATATTATTATTATTTTTTTTTTAATATATAATTTTTCAATATAATTCAAATAAATTTTACCAATTTAATTTTAAATTTTATAAATCAAAATTTAACATCAATATTATTATTTTTTATTTAAATAAAAAACAAAAAATAATATATTATGAATATTTATTATATATATATTTAATCATTTAATATTAATTTATATTATATTTTTTGAATATTATTTTCAATTCAATTATCTTAATTATGATAGAGCCATATTATCAAATATGAATATGCTCTAATTTTTGATTTTTCTGATTATTTATTATACATAATATATTATTATATTATTTTTTTGAGTATTCTTCGAACATCTGATCTTCGATGCAAATTACCTACAAGATTCGGATCTTGTCAGTGTTGTGTTTGTCACTCAATGGGGAGGGCCTATTTTCATGAAGAAATATGTTTGCATCTAAGCTGAAAACAAAAACAATTAATCTGAATTCGGAGGATATAATGTATCTATTCCAGCAATGCAGCCCTGCGGTTCGGCCTCTCTCCACCATCCGAATCGTCACTGGAGCCTTCGATAGAGGAAGGCCTTGGAAAAGGTGGCGCCGACAGATTTTCAATACTTGCTGAGGACAAATCTCCCCTCTGTAGCTCCAAGCGGGTTTCTTGAGTCATGGGGGATCCCCTGTCGTCACCATGGTTGTTTCAGTACTAAACTGGTCTAATGACTTGGATGATTTGGGGGTATCCCCATGACTTAGGAAACCACCATATTTCATTGCTGTCATTCTCATGACAACTGATGCAATTCAATTTCCTGCGGCCTTGGAGGTTGGATATTGGTTGGTGATGAGACAGCGTCCTGCCGCTGCGGCCCACGAAGTCAAAACATGCTTTACCACAGGGTAAAACCACCAGCAAAAACAAACAATAGGAGCACTTGGGGGTCCGAATGCCGACCGTTTGAAATTAGGCAGCGACCATTTATATAAATACATTAACAATCATCAATATATCATCAATCATTAAAAAACACACAAATTCTCACTCCTCCCAGGCCATAGAAACCCCTCGATGCGCGTCTACAGGAAGACCCTGTCCTCGGCATCTTTTTTTGCGATGGTTTTTGAGGCGCCAAAAATGGTAACGCATGGTGGATCCAGAAATTCTATTTTTTTTTTTGGGCATGTTGATCATGATTCTTAAAAAATCTTATAAGATCTTAAAAGAGTCTTCAAGTATTCTTAATTGTTTAAGTACTTAGCAATGATTCAACCATCAATTTCATGTGGCCCAATCATTTGGAGATCATTTTGAACCACGTGTAGGGATTGGAGCATTGCGCCAGCTGAACATGCTCGCTGAGGGCATTGAATCATATCCTCATGCTCAATACAACATATGTATGAATCAAGGCAGTGTTAAAAAAGGGCAAAGGTTGGGCAAATCTCAATTTTCACAGAGTTTTTTTTGAAACAAGATGCAGCCCACGAACCCGAATGCAGTCACGTACAGCACTTTTGTGAAAAAATATTTGAACAGTCTTGTACATTTTTCCCTGTTACCGTGCCGCTAGACTGTGGAATGCAGAAGTGGCGGGGAGAGTGTGGAGTGTAAAGTGTGGAGTGTAAAGTGTAGCTAAAAAGTGTACATCAAAAGTGTGCAGTGTAAAGTGTCGAGTGTGGAGCGTGAAGTGTGAAGTGTGGAGTGTGGAGTGTAAAGTGTGCAGTGTAAAGTGTGGAGTGTGAAGTGTGGAGTGTAAAGTGCGGGGTGTGAAGTGTAAAGTGTAAAGTGTAGAGTGTAAAGTGTAGAATGTGGAGTGTGGAGTGTGGAGTGTAGAGTGTGGAGTGTAAAGTGTAGTGTGTGGAGTGTGGAGTGTAAAGTGTGGAGTGTCGAGTGTAGAGTGTGGAGTGTAAAGTGTGAGGTGTAGAGTTTAAAGTGTGGAGTGTCCAGTGTAGAGTGTGGAGTGTAAACTGTAGATAAAAAGTGTGGAGTGTAAAGTGTAGAGTGTAAAGTGCGGCCTGTGGAGTGTAAAGGGTTGAGTGTGGAGTGTAGAGTGTGCAGTGTAAAGTGTAGAGTGTAAAGTGTGGAGTGTAAAGTGTAAAGTGTAAAGTGTAAAGGGTAGAGTGTAAAGTGCAAAGTGTAGAGTGTAAAGTGTAGTGTGTGAAGTGTGGCGTGTGGAGTGTAAAGTGTAGAGTGTAATGTGTGGAGTCCGAGTGTATAAAAAGTGTGGAGGGTAAAGCATGGAGTGTAAAGTGTAGAGTGTGAAGTGTAGAGTGTGGAGTGTAGAGTGTGGAGTGTGAAGTGTAGAGTGTGGAGTGTGGACTGTAAAGGGTAGAGTGCAAAGTGTGGAGTGTAAAGTGTAAAGTGTAAAGTTTGGAGTGTAAAGTGTAAAGTGTGGAGTGCAAAATGTAAAGTGTAAAGTGTGGAGGGTAAAGTGCAAAGTGCAAAATGTAAAGTGTAAAGTGTATAGTGTGGAGTGTAATGTGAAAAGTGTGGAGTGTAAAGTGTAAAGTGTGGAGTGTGATTTTTCAAGTGCGAAGTGTGGAGTGTATAGTGTGGAGTGTAAAGTGTAAAGTGTGGAGTGTGGAGTGTAAAGTGTAGAGTGTGGAGTGTAGAGTGTGGAGTGTAAAGTGTGGAGTGTGAAGTGTAAAGTGTGGAGTGTAAAGTGTGGAGTGTAAAGTGGAATGTGTAAAGTGTGGAGTGCAAAGTGTAAAGTGTAAAGCGGGAAGTGTGGTGTGTGGAGTGTGGAGTGTAGAGTGTAGTGGAGTGTGGAGTGTAGTGGGGAGTACGCAAAAGTATTGCGCCTGCCAGACAAAATGAAGTTCGACACGTTTGGAGGCACATGACAATGTCACGAAGTGCCACACCTGCCACGCAAGACCACGTTACAACTTGCTTTGGCACCTTGAAACAGGATAGGTTTTGCAGCTTCCCCCCATAGACACAGTGAGGCCACAGGAAAGCCAGAGACTCGAGACGATACATGTTGGAGCATCAAAATGAGCGTTTCGTGCGAGACTTCCTCCAATTTTCACACTTTGTAGCTTCAAAATCGACGTTTTCCTACGAGTTATCTTTTGAACATGAAAATTTGCTACCTCAAAATCGATGTTTCGTGCGAGGCTTCCGTCAATTTTCATCACATCTCCCAAAATGCCACGCCTGCCACCGAATTTGCACCTTGTCACCACTTGACGCAGGCCTGACAATGCGATTGGCAAGAAACACGCAACACGACACGTCTAAAGTGCTGCGCCTGCCACGCAAAAAAACGATGGGCACGTCCAAAGTGCTGCGCCTGCGACGAAAACTGCCACACATCTTCTGGAAAATGTCGCAAAAGTATTTTCGCCTGCCACACAAAACGACTTTCGACACGTTCCAGAACACGTCTGAATGTCACGAAGTGCCACGCCTGCCACGCGAAACGAAGCAAGACATGTGCAAACTTCAAACGTGACGCCTTTTGCAGAACTAGGGACGGCCATATTATGGGGCTTGCGCGGACGGTTGCGGACGGTTGGGCAAGGTCGACCGAACACACCCTCAATCCCCAGACCCCCAGAGTGAAACGGGAACCCTTGCTACGCATTCGGGAAAAACACTTTACCATCAATTTTCATACATGTGTGGATTTACCAACCTAACCTCTCATGGCCGGTGCACTGGATCTAGGATCTGAGAACGGGATAGTGCCATTGAAATCTGGGTCGCCCGCGTTTTAGGTCGCAGCGCTGTTGATAGAAGTCTCGCCTGAATGCTCCCCCTTTCGAGTGTGCACTGCATCTTGTCTGAATGTCAGGAGAAATGAGTGTCTAATCTTGCAAATCTCATCCCTCGAAATGAAGCGAAATGAATGTGCACAAGACACAAGACCAACAATTTTGCCAGTTGCTAAAGTGCGAGTTTCTTTATGTTCCTTTCTCTCGCTCTGTGAGTCGCAAACAACTCCTCCAAGTGCTGGTAGAATCGGGGTATAGGCCAAACCTGAAGGCTACAGTCCAGTTGGATGAGGTCCATGTGCCAAGCGAGAAATTGATGCGTCGCACAGCTCCTGTCCGAGGCATGGGCGGAGAGGAGCTCACCTTAGTGTCTGTGTACCACCGCAGTGGTCCACTATGATCTCCAGGCTTGACCCAAATCCTATTCACCATGAAAGCAATCAAACCAAACCACAACTTCATCATCTACTAATCTACCAACCCCCAGACTAGCCTGAAAGGATGTGTATCAGTGTGTGTTGGTCACCTTTTTACTTCTGGCCGCTATTGCAGGTGCTTTGCTCTTTTTACATCTTTCCACTATCAGAATAGAAGAAGTGCAGTCCTCCTAGCAACATTCGGTGCTTACATTGGTTCTGTGATTTTAACAGTTGATCGACAAGTAAGATAAAGTAAGTGCGGAAACTAGTTGCAAGTCAGCTAAAGGTGGTGCTGGCATGTACAGTAAGGTCTCGAGATCGAAGGGGGTTTCATTGTCAGCACTTGTATCGTCATCTGGGGCTTGCACCATCAGCCAATCGCGAGCAGTGGACGACCTGGGGATACAAAACCGAGCTCTGGGATGCGAATGGCGCTTCTTTGGTTTGAGACAAACTTTGCAACTCTCTGCACCGCAGGTTCGCCTGCTGAACAGAAATGAGCCCGTTCAAAATCATCTGCCACGCAGGATTCATATGGACATTGTTGGACTTTACTTCAGCCCAGGGCAAGCTGCGGTCTCCGGTTGTTGGGCAAGACGGTGTGTTCGGTGGTCTTAGCAAGTCCAAGCCAGCAAAACCCACAAAGCAAAACACCAAGATCGACCAGCTGATTATTTGTGGATGCATCAGCTCTTTATCATGCGCAGAACAAAACCAGTTGATTCAGGAACGCCGACATGGCAAAACATGAACTGATATGTTTTTCAACTGTGGGGAGGGGTTCAAGGCAAATCATGCGCACAGTACGTTGCTGCATGTGGACGCATCGGGCATGTGAAGTTCGGTTGCGTCAATAGGCATTTATCAAAATAACCAGAATGCCAAAGATCACTGAAAATCATACATCAGGAATCAGGGCAAACTCCGTTTTCATATCTGGCTTTATCTGAATAGGTACGCCAAAATCGCATGGTCTATCAGACATCATTTCCCCCGTGAACCATTGATTGCCATTCTAGGATATGCTCCATTTTCAAACACTTCCAAAAACCATACATTATGTATATATATATAGGTACATACATAATATCATACATACGTATGTATGTAACTGTATGTATATATATATAATATTATATAATATCATTGTGACCATGGTATTGCAGCATCTGAGTTTCCTGACTGGTCGCTCTGGTGGTGCACGCAACAGCAATCCAACCTCAAGGACCTGGGTTGCAGTACCGTCCCATGGACCAATGGCTAGTACGAAACTATCCAAATCGTACAGACTTAAGGAAGGTTGATAATTTATGATCATTTGGAGCATTCTTCCCAAATATTTGGGAAAAAACGAACTTTACCTAAACATTCCTAAACCATCCTAAATCCATTGTTGATTCACTTACATACCTTGCAAATCCTTGCAACACCAACATTTGCTTCGATCAATCGTGCACAGCTCCCAACATGGCTTTCAGCCAAGGCGGTCAATCGAAAAAGTCAAGCTGTCTCAAGCTGATGTGATCACAGGAATGTTCAGTTTTCCTCTACATCTACTCTGACAACATTTCTTGTATCTTCTTCTTACATCTTACAATTTAATCATATTTAATCAATGCTCATAGAGAATACAAAGCCTGAACTTACTTTGAGGACCAGGTCTTGTAGGAAAGTATTCATGCAAAGAAAACCGGAGCATTGGGAATGTTCCAATTTCCTTTGCCCTACACACACGACTTGATGCAGACTCATAGAACGCGCTTGCCTGGAGAGGAGTCTGCTCAATCTCTTTCAACAGCTCATTGGCCTTGAAGGAGCTCTCATGTCCCAGCCCCATCCACCCCTTCAGCATGGAATCAAAGTGAGCGTTCTGATTGTGGTTCATTCTGCTGGATATCTGAGACATTTTGAAACTGCCCCACCTCATCCACATCGTTGTGAACCTCACCAGCTCCTCTCATGATCTCTGCACACCTGCGGTGCCAACTCTGAATCGATAGGTGATAGGTGATCAATGACGCATTTTTTGGGAGTCACTTTCATCATATGGATCAACCGAGAAAAACCATCCTATATATTAATGGTGACTAATATGATTGATCCTACATGGTTGATCAACCATCCTATTTCCACATCGCACCGCATCGCATCTCCAGCATTGCTCTGAGGCCGCTTCTCTGTTTCACCAAGCACCGGTGCCACTGAGGTTTCAATGAGCCTCAGCAGCTGGTTGCAGCCATCGCTCCACGATGCCAGAGGTGGAAGGTGCGTTAGGCACCCAGCAAACGAAGCCGCTGCAGGGTGTCACCCTCGCAAGCTGGAAAGGGGCTGGGCAATGCTGCCTGAAGCATCTGCTGGTCATTTCGATTCAAAAACGCACCTGTTCAATTCTGGATTCGCTTTCATGGAATACTGCTGTCCAAGTCCCAGACTGCTCGCATCAGGAGGTCCTATCCAGAGTAAACTTCATTCAGCCACAGGACTGCAAGCGAGGTGTCAACTTGTTAGGGGAATAAATTCATTTAAATGCCGCTTCAAATCCAACCCGCACCAAGGAGAAGCACTGCGAGGAACAACGCATCAGAACATGATGTGAAGGACCAACATTTTCAATGATACTTCCCGATTTTCAAGTGCTATTCATGCATCAATGCAGCATGACTGTATGACTCAAGCCACCTCATCTTCCATGCCACGGCCACCGGGACCACCGCCCTGAGAAGCCAAGGGGATGACCTCAGCCGCTCTCACCAGGCACCGCCCGCTGCCAGGCAACGCCCGCTGCAGGCAAGGCACCAAGCGGAAGGCGAAGGCGCGGCCGAAAATGATGCGGGCACCGTTGTAGAGAGCGATGGCCTGGGGATGGTGAACTGCGACTGCTGGCTTCAACATGGCCAGGGATTTTTGTACATATGGCAGTGTGTCAAACCTTGTACCCCTGGTGAACATCAAAATAGCTGGTAAATGGATGTTCATCCCATTAAAAATGGTATTAATAGGTATTGATCCATACCCATATCAAAAACATCTGAGGGGGATCCTTCAAAAAAGCATATTGCTTTCCATTGCCAACACCCCAGAAAGGAAACACCCCAGGAAGAACGTTGCAAACTTTTGGAGATCCCCTTATTATTACAACGTTCTTTGAATGGCAACAGACATCTACGCCGACCGGCCCAACCTGATTGTCAGAGACTGCAACGCCATCCACCTGCTCAAGGCCATGTGCGCAAAGCGGAATAACTAATATCATATATAGAGTAATGTCTAATATTGTATAATATAATATATGTATATATAGTTATATAGTTATATATATATATATATACAAAATATAGAGATAGACACATTTGTTGTCCAATGGACGATTCTCATTTTTCAAAAAAATCTATTCCTCTTCTAATTGATGGATTGCAGAATATCATCAATCCCATCGTTTACCAATGAATGTCAATCACTAGCTAGCAACATTATGGGTAGCTCACAGCCCTCAGGATGTTGACTATTTACATCTATTTACTGTACGACTGGATCACCATTGATCTGACTATCAAGGGGAGCTACGGACCCCTCAATTCTTGGGGCCACGCAACAAGAAGTTTCAAGTTTTTGGCCTTCGTAGGGTTCAAATGAGGAAGATGCAAGGGAGGGTATGAGTGGGGGGTATCCCAAGCCCAGAGAACAGGAGCTGTTAACTAGTCACTCTTAAAGGAACGAAGAACTTGACGGCGAGACTGACAAAGACAAGTCACTTCAAGGATGGGCTGACTTTAGGCACTTTGAACCAGCATGCGTGAGGACTTTTCTTTGTGTTTGCCCACATATATTATATCATTATATATCATTCCTGTCGGATAAAGAGAGGAGGAAGTCACCGATTAGTTAGGCTTTTATTATCTTTTATTGCTGGTTTTGGCATGTTTGGGCAAAAATATGAACGGTTCCTCGGTTCATCCCAAAACGAACTGCATGAAATCGGTGGCTCTTTGAACAACTCTCGTAATACATGGCAGGGGCGCAATCAATCTGCCACCACGGCCGGAATGCTGCACCTAGCACCAGAACCAGAATCATCAGAATCTCGAGGATCCGAATCCGAATGCCAATAAAATATGCACGCATCTACCGCATGTGCTTCAGGTTTCATATACTGTCATATACTGTCAAAATTGAAGTATAAACATATTGAACACATGAAAAATCATGAAAACACACAAATAACCTTAAATGCAGTAATCAAAAGGAGTCAAGGGCCGAAGGGACAACACCCTCTACTTCACAGACCACACATGCACTTTCGGCTTGTGTCGGCCTCCACGCCCTTGCCACCTGTCACGGTGCGGCAGATTTGAGCGTCTTTTCAGCACCAACATGACCCATACTTGACTCATCTGCCTGTTGTTTTATGCGGTTTATGCAAGACTCATCAGAATAGGCACAGATGCGAACATGACTCACTCCTGTGATCATTGTAAAGCTTGTGTGTAGGTTTACATCCTGCCTGCGACGACAGAAATATCACAAAGATGGTCTGGAATGCCCAAACCCATCAATCTGATTCGATTGTTCTCCTGGCGAAAAGGTTTACCAAGGTTTACCATGGTTTACCCTTCTCCCCGGGTATCGCTATCTGCGAATCCGCTGTGTCCTCGGATCCAATACTGATGGGTGGACCCTCAGGTAGGAAGTACAGCAGCCTCCGGGAGGCTACCAACACAAGGCATCACTCATCACTCAGATCTCCAACACTGGCAGCAGATCTCCAGCACTGGCCTCCCAGCCAAAGAAATGTCGTCAGAGATGTTGAGAAGGTATGGCCTGTCAGACTTCATGACAGGATACGATTCGTGAAGCAAGTCTGGGAAGAATGGCAGGTTGTACCATTCGATCGGATTTTGAGCCTAACACACATATTACATCATATTAATTCATATTGCACTTTGAACACACCTGCATGCAAGAATAATCTGTGCATGGCTGATCATTGGACCTCACTTCCACTTTCCAAGGCTTTATTCCTTATGGTCCTCAGAACCACACGAATTTGCAGTCACAGCGTGCTCGGATTGACCTCCCAAGTCATAGCTGTATGTCAAAAAACGGCTCTTGTATAATGGGCTTCAATTCAGCGCCTTCGTTTTCTTATGTTTTCTTGTTTTCTCGTCTTTTGGAAAACTGAACAGCTGTGAGGTATCACACTTTTCAAACAGCTCCAAGCAGTTGTAAGATTGGAAATGAGCGTGATCCGTGCCAGTGCGTTCACTGCCCTTTCTTGCCAGTTAGTAAACTGTAGCGGAAATCAGCAGAAATTCACCCAGCCTCCCAGCATCCCACCAATATTGAAAGGAAGACTGAGCCCTGCCAATGCCTGATGGCTCAGAAATTGGCGACCAAGAGACCTTTCCATGAATCATTCAGCTAAATCCTGCCTCGTTTCGGAGGCGCGATGCCTCCTGCTGAGCTAGCTGGGCCTTGGGTCTAAGCGGTGCCATAGGAGTGGCCAAGTGTAGTCGCTGGAATATGCGATTCCAGGAGCACGTCTGTCTCGGAAGCTTGAGATTGATCATATTGGTAGGCCTAAGTGCTATGATATTCATTGATGTTCATGTTCATTATGTAGTGCTGTGATATTCGCTGTGATATTCATATTTTCATAATTCTATATAATTCTGACAAGAGATGCCCCCTAAGAACTGCCTGTTGTAATGCCGAGTCTGGCCTGTGACCACATGGTCTTGTCAATCCTGGTTTGGATGCTAAGGACCTTGGTGCAAAGAGCCCGTGAAACACCACACTATGCCCAGGACTTAGCAGCGCGACATATCCCGACATCTATGGAGGTTTCGCAAAATTGGGGGTACGACATCATCCAAGTCATTAAACATCATTAAACCATTTTTGAATCCATTTGAATCCATATTTTCGTATATTCTTCCTCCATGGCGGCCATTCCAAGCCATTCTCAGGCTGCAGCAGCATGTTCCACAGCTTCTGCGCTCTTCATGTAGCGCCGAGCCTCAGACAATCGAAGATGACAACCCAAGAGCCCGAAACGACGCCGTGTTAAGCCGTGACTTTGCAAAGTGGGTCGACCCCGATCTCCTGCAGTAAACCATATTTGATTATATTTAATTGATTCTAGTTTATGATGTTTATGATTCATGATCTAATCATATTGTTTATAGTAAGCCAAGGCTTCAAATCTTCAATACCTTCAACGCTTGGTGCATCTGTCGTCGGATTGCCTGCTGTGGGCTTTCCTCCTTTGCTTTCAGCGCAGCCGCTTTCAGTTCCTCCGCCTGTGCCAAGAGCCGATGTGGGAGCCGGAGCCACTGTTAGAATTATGCACTGATGTGCCACATCAAAAACAATGATTGTAAGATACGTCGTGTAAAGGTGTACTAAGAAGAAATAACATGAAACACATGGAATAAGTATTGTTTCAACGTGCCGCTGCAGTACTTTGCACCTATGCAAAGTGGATGGACATCATGTTCAAAGTTTCGATCCGTTCACAGCAGAAACCACAATATTATCCAGCCTCTGAGCGCATTGTCTGAAGCAAGAGGTCACTTTCTCCGATTTCCTGCAAGGTGCCCATGCAATCCCATAACATGAGCTGCGGTGGTTACATGCGATGAGTCGACTCTTTCAGGAGTTCATGTCTTCCCATCCTGCTCATTGCTCACGGCATGCGTTCGTACCTGCCAAGGTGAGGGACTCACGGACGAGGGAAGCAAACACAAGGGGATGTGAGCTGCCGATAGTAGTAGTAGTAGTAGTAGTAGTAGTAGTAGTAGTAGTAGTAGTAGTAGTAGTAGTAGTAGTAGTAGTAGTCGTAGTCGTAGTAGTAGTAGTAGCAGCAGGAGTAGTAGCAGTAGTAGGATTAGTAGGAGTAGTAGGTTGTCGTAATGAATTGCTGATAGTTCATACGCCTTATTGATCTACTTATTAGACTTATATCTACTTATTGATCTTATTAAACCTTGTTGACAGATATCCATCCTCTGTTGCATCACCATCAAATCATCCGTTCTGCATCCCGACCTTCTTTACTGAAGAAGCGAATCGCAGGGTTCCCAAGGTTTCCTGCGACCAACTGAACTCCGATTCACTGGGTGATTTCATGTGCTTCGAAAAATGGCACCACGAAAAACCCCGCCGAAAAAATACACATCCTCCATTTCGGAGAGTGCCGGGGAAATAGCTGCCACCTCAGAGATTCGAGGCTTGGCAAATGCTCATCATATCCTGGTGATCTCTGGTTGCTAAGCTGCTTGCTGATTTCTATGGAGGATAGATCTGTCACTTGGGGTTGATCGTTCCAGGCATCGCAAGAGTAGGACCAATAGAATCATATGGCGCTATATGGCGCTGGGAAATGAGGTGCTGGTCATGTTTAGTCTTTAAATGTCTGCTAAATTAAACATCCCAAAATTGGGGTCAACTGGAGGCCAGTTGGGGAAAGGAGATTTTTAAGGAGGCTGGTGAGTTTGCCGCCCATGTCCCAGGGGGGAGTGATTGGCGATTCCAGCCCCTGCCAAAACCTAAAACAAAAAAGAGAGAGAGTTCAGCTACTAGTATTACTAGTATCAGAAGCTAGCTTTCAGGATAATTTGGAACCATCATGAGCCATCCCCCATATTCCGTGTGCGATGTACTTTATTTGAAACCACTGATCAGTAGCTTTGTTCCCAGCTGCGCAGCGATTTTCAAGCTGGCTCCACGTTGCTGAGTCCGCTGGCCATGTGAGTCTTGCTGTTTCCATTTAGAGCGTCTGTCAGGAGGTATGTCAGCTTGCTCTGCCTATCGTCACAAAACACAAGCTGCTGCCAGCTCCAATCAGGGAAATAGTTCTCACATGCCCTCTGAAGGTCCATGAAAAACGTATCAATCAATACAACTCAACGTTGCACCAACTTGCTACAGTTTGTTGCTGTCTGAACAGCCGCCCTCAATGTAGAAAAAAACCGCCTGAAAGGTACATGCTTGAACTTTCCCTGTGCCAACTTGGAAATGACCTTGAAGAACACTGCGATAGCGCACACACACACACAACACAGTTTCTCTCTGTTTTCTCTAGATTTCTTTGCTTCTTTCGCAGTTTCCATCTATGAATTTGTCCAAAAATTGCGACGCAATTTGCGAAGGCGAAGAACTGTTCGGAAAGCACTCTGAGATGAGCGCTTGCCCAAGGACGCTCAAGGAACTGTTGATATTTTGTCCCTCTCGCATTCTCTGGCCTAAATGCAGCTGCAACATGTTCCCAATCCTTCCCATGTATCAGTGAAAGTTGTATGGGACACCATGGGATAATCATGAATTCTATAGATAGATGGATGGATGGATCGATAGATAGGTAGATATAACATCTGTACACTACCACAGTTGATTTTCCCGGATTTTCCCATCCACGGAGACATTTCATGGTGCCTGGTGGATTTTTTACGTCCAGCTGCGCTGAGATCAGGACCTGCTGCTCCACTCTTCTTCACTCTCTCACTTCCAGCAAGGTCGATGAGATTCTTGGCCGCTTGAGAGCAAAAAAGGCCGGACAAGCTGAATGAGTTGGTGAAGTTGAATGAGTTGAATGAGTTGAATCAATGAGTTGCATCAAGGCCTTGAAAACATCTTTCAGCAGCACAAAAACGCTGCGAAGTTTTAACACTGAGAGCTTGACCAAGGTGCTATTTCTGATGCGTGTCCGTGACTCATCCTGGCAATTTTACTCGGGAACATGTTTTGATGATGATCAACCAGGAGGTGAGGCAAGACTGCAAACATGTGAGTATGAGAAGGCATTCAATTGTAGACACCGTGGATTCACACTCTCTTACAATGTTTTTTTAACTAAAAATTGAGGTCCCAAAGCCAGTTGGAGAAGTACAACCCATAATTTTCTGCTTAAGTCTTGGGCTTCAAACACATCCACAAACAAAACCATCCTGAAGCGTACCTTGATGGGAAAGGTGATCCGCAGAATGAAGAGCGCATGGCTCCTCGAGGACCTGCCATTTCTCCAAGGTTCATGGCTCCTGTGAGATCTATGAGATTCCCATACCTTTATATATGTTTGGGAAGGTCAAATCATGCTAACTGTTTTTAAATGTTAAATCTTGACATCCCCATGTCTTGGATTGGTTACCATCCACGGTACAATCCAAAATCCCATTGTTGATCATCATTTTCCCTATCAAAATCAATCAATATGGCAATAAAATGGCACAAGATGGACACACTCATTTTTGGACACAGCCATTTGATGGTATGATGTGACAGATGTGGGCTGTACCTAGCTACGTTCAGGCCATGGGTGGTGCACTCATGTCGAAGCTTCCTTTCAATGGGCAGCTGCGGCTTTTCGCATCGTCGCCAATGCTTGGAAAAGTCAGGCAGCGCGTGAGCAAGCAGAAAGATGCAGCTCATCCTGTGCTCCGATGAAGACTACAGTGTCACTACAACTCCTGATCATTTGGGGATGAGTTAAAACCCCTCTACCTTGGTGAAGCTCAAAATAATGGTAATGGTAATTACATGTAATTACTGTAAATGGCTGTTCATCCCTCAAATTTGGTCAGGGTTTGACCGTCTGACCCATTCCCGTTTTGACGATTGGACGTATCAACGCTATTTCATCACTTCAAGCCTTGTAAGCTTCGCAACACTCGAAAAGTGCACAGCTGAAAAAGGTGGCCCAGCAAGGACCCAGCAAGGACCGATCAAATTTTCAAGACAAACTTCTCCACAAAGTACTGATGGATACCTTGCTGATGCGACAAACAGCCGATGGCTTCTGGGGAACCTCTCTGAATGGAGGACATTAAAACATATTAAAAAAGGCAAATGCTGGAAGATTTACATGAAATATCATGAAATTCCAAAAATCCGTCATTTCTATTCATTTCTGAGCTCGAGACGGTGGTCGTTTGTGAGCTCGGGATGGAAGGTGGTCACAAGGATTTGACTCAGCAATTTTCTTCTTCGATGTGCATCACAGTCAGCAACAGGGTAAATATATTGTATATAATTATATATATATAATATATATATATAATATATATCTCTCTCTGTCTCTCTCTCCATATTTCTCTCTCTGTATGAATATAAGTGATATAAGGGCTTTATCCCATTTAAGATATTTAAGTCATAGCATCCTACGAAATGTTATAAAGCACGCTGGTTCATCCCATACGAGTACCGTAAGGCCTCACAGCAATTTTCTACACATTGCAGGGCTAGCACTTTGCGGTATCCCCTTCTGCAGCTCCAAGGACAGGATGACAAAAATGTGATTCCTTTGCAGCACTATTTAACACAATTTATGCCTACTTTTCAATGCTTTAACATGCTTTAACTAGATATCTTTGAGCCTCCTCAAGCATCCAACCTCTGAGGCACCAACTCAGATTCTGCTGCAACCGTCACACCTTCGGCTCCGGGGCCTCTGCGAAAGGTAGTCCAGTCTTCGAATTTCGAAAAAAACATCATTTGCACATGCCATGATTTTGATCATGATGCTATGGTGATTCATGATTCATCATGATTCATCATGATTCATCATGATTCATCTGACTGTTTACATGTATAATTATCACTTTACCATTGATTCTGACTGCCAATTTCGGTAGACCACATCCCAAAGCCCATTGACGAACTCCTGCCTGAAGTTATGGAAGGGTGCACCACCTGACACATCGGAAGTCATATGATTCACAGTAATACTGATGGGTGATAACAACGTTCTGACAATCTCCAACAAATATCAACACTTATGATCATCCAAAAAACTATTGGTTGATATAGGGGGTTATATCATATATATATATAATGATACACATTATCATCTTAATCTTATATACATATATATATATATATACATACATATACATATATATATATGTATATCATGTTAATACACCCATAATCATAGTATATTACAATCATTTATAATCACCTCCAACCAACCAACCCTCATCAACCGTCACCTTGGCCAGCTCTCGCACGGAGTCTCCAGCGCGCAGGATCGCTGGGGCGCGAATGAAAACTGCACAGGGTGCTGGACAGGCAGGATGGATGGATGGATGGATGGATGGATGGATGGATGGATGGGTTGATGGATGGAAAACCATGGAACACCATGCAAAACCATTGACATAAATCATTGGAACATGATTGGAAGATCATTGAAAATCATGATGGAACATGATGGATATACGGATGTATCCATGTATATCCCCCAAATAGCCCATTTTTTTGGACGAAGAATGATGATTCACCAAGGGATTTATGGATATCCTATTGGATGATTCATGAATAGGCTCCACTAAAGTGCAACAACATCGACGACCATTTGGTTTTGTGGTGTCTTGTGGCAAGTGAAACGCATTTCGGCCGCCTTTTCCAAGCGCGTGATTGCTGAGAAGTATTTGGAAAGCGCCGGAAACAAGCATATCCGTAGCTGGCTTCCAGCTGAATCTTGAGCTTAGGTTGCAGTTGGACCAGAGCTGCTCATTCCAAAATGTCCCAATCTTACAGAGTTGTCCAATTCGTTCCCCAGCTTCAACTTCACATTTAGAAATATGTCAGAGTATGGAAGCAAATGAAGCACTCTGTTGACCCAACTGCAGACCGGTGTATGGATTGCCAGGTCTGTGAGGCTTTGGCCTGCGGCCTGACAAACCAACACAATATAACTGAGCTATACCTAAATTCACTGGACAAGGTACTTCGTTTGGAGCTTGAGATACTGCAGTGAGCAAATCCAATGAAGAAATGAATGGCTTAGCGATGCTTAACTCGATCACATACCTGCACATACTTTTCATGCAGTTTCAAGGACTCTGTGGGTAAACTCCAAGCATGACCGACGTGTAACTTGAATTCCTTGCACTTGCTGAAGTGTCATGTGTGTCATGAAGTTTTACTTCAAGCTTCACTTGAACAAACTTCAACATGCAAAATATGCAAAGGCTCTCTTCGAGAGACAACAGTCATCCTCTCCTGTTGAATTTCCCAGCAGAGCTTCATTTTTGCTCGGGACTCACGACGCCCTGCATCATCCTGGGCAACAAAAAAACACAGTAATTACACATGTCCTGCAAGCGACCGATGCAGAAGTGAACGAGGAAAACCTCCTGAAACACCTCAAACACCTCAATCAAAGACCTCAAATATCTTCAAAACCGTTCTTGGAGGATTTCAATTTTGGAGGCAACGACCGCAAAACATCAGCTGGTTGGCTTGGTGCCTGTAAAGCTCCAGCCAAAAGTCGTACTTCTTCTCCCCAGAAGCCTGTTCACTCAATAAGCTGATGGTCCACGGCATAGCATCAAACTCCACCGCATTTCACCATGCTTTACACTATGTGATCCTGATATCAACATGACACAAACCTGCAGGCATCAACAATCAAGAAGCTGTTTTTGCTTGCGTCCGTCAATCTGAAATGGATATCCTCGCCTTGGGCTTGTTCATACAGTAGTCGCTGAACATACCATGCGGATAGTGGGTGAAATGCCTGCCAAGTACACCAAACCATGAATGGATTGAACTGAGCATGGACATGAATAAAATGGGTGGCCCCCATGGCCCTTCTCTTGACCCCGAAGCAGGCGCACTCTGTCTTGTTCAGCAACTTTACCTTGGACTTGTCCCAAAGTCATGGCTGTGGCAGACTTTGGAGGCAATCGCTGAATTTTGGTCTGTTAACTCAAGGTCCAGGCCCCACAAATGTAGCAAAAGTTTGTCCCTCCAGCATTGCCTCAATGGTGTCTTCTGATGCAAGCACGCAGGGCCTGCTCAACATTCTTTAAGAATCTTTAAGATAGGGATCAATAGGGCATCCAGGTGCATTTTGCTCGAATGTCTCATGATTCCCGCATCTTCCAACCGTTTGGAAGAGCCTCTGCAGAGTAATCCCATCCCCCTACTATTGAACAGTATTAAACATCCCTGTTGTATGGTCGCACATGTAAATCTGCTACAAAAAACCCTGGGGGATGGGATTCAACTTCCCCAAAGGCTTCCATCTCTCAGCATCCAACGGCAAGCTACAGAGCCACATGTCCTTAGCTACTCGTGTTCAACCTTTAACATGCTTCCTGAATACCTTAACCATTAATCTTAGTGCTTAGTTAATAGGGAAATCCCAGTTCATGGATGATGATAATCCCCAACTAATATGAGTTAATATGAGTTATACTACAAACTCCCTGCAATCATCAACCGAGGTTTTGAACACTCATGTAATCCAACAAGGCCCACACATGTAGTTGCATCCGAAGGATCTCGAGCAAGGCGCCTTAAGACAGCTGAACACAACAGCAGCACCAGAGAGAAATGTGAATTGGTCCCAAAGTACATATCATAGAATACGTATCTCTCTCTCTATAAATACACATAGAATCAATTAGAATCACATAGATATAAATGCTTAGGTGGATTTCCCCAAATCATATTTTAGAGTGTTCCATCCATATCCATCTGCAGCCGGTAAGAAAACAGTGCTGACCGCACCCCTTCGCGCTTTGGGCCCCAACATCGCATTCTGGACATCTCAACCAACCTGATCAGGTCGGTGCTTCATCCCACTGGGGTTGGAGCGCTCTAAATTTTCCTTGCTGCAATGCCAGTGGAGGGGACATTTGCAGTAAAACACTTATATATATATATATATCTACTGATAGAAACATATAGAAACCATGGATAAAAAACCATGGATTTCCTGCAAAACACACATAAACAACTCCAACAACTCCTTAACAACTCCTTAACAAAACAACGGAGCCATTGATAAAAAAAACATCTTGAATCTATCAGATCCACAGCGAGACCCCCGAGACCCCGACCCTCGCTGGACCTGGCAAACCCATGACAGGATTGGTGTCAGGTGACGGAGGTGATAAATGTGCTTCAGCAAAGCCAGCATCGCATCTTCCCTGGAGTTACCAGTCTTCATGGTCAATCTTGGTCAATTTGCTGATCTCACCATTTTTCCGGGTAGTTTTCCACTTGATTGTTGGTCAAACCAGAAGCAACCATTGGGAACTACTGCACAGCCGATGTGCCAAGGCTGCATCCTCAGCCGAGCAAGACTGCCGGCAAGGCATGAGTTCTTCAAAGGCATCATCCACTTTTTCGTTATCCTGCCAAGCAACTGGGAATGTCAACCGACTAAGGTTGATCCCTGGAACATATGGGGTGCCTCGATTCTGAATTGGAAGTGGCTGTTTTGGGGATCCCTGAAGACAACTTCACCACTGATTTATGATTCTGAGCAAACATAATTTATTTCCTCTGCAAACTATGCTGTCACAAAGGCATGTAAATGGTCCTTCCGCCATTGCCAGTACGCAGCGCAAGAGACACCAAAGTGTCTTTCTTGGCACTTGAAGCACACCTCCCAGTGAGAATCAATGTATCCATGCTTCTGTCGCAGAGGTCAACCACCTTGCATAGCTGTTTCCAGTGCAATGCTGCAAATTCGGACAGGAAACAGAAAGAAGAAGTTCGCTACACTATAATTTGTTTTGCGACAAATCACACATACATGTATGTATGTATATAAATATATATATATATATATAATATAATATCTCTATCTCTCTCTCTCTCTCTATATATATATACACACACACGCATCCTTATATAGTGTGTATATATATAATGTATTATGTATATTATGTATTATATATATATATCACATATCACATTTCACATATCACATATCAAATAGATAGATAGGTAGATAGGTAGACAGACACAGACAGGATACCGGATAGACAGACAAACAGGATAGATGGACAGGATAGATGGATAGATACATACATCATGGTAGATAGATAGACAGAAAGATGCATAGATATATGTATGTATATATAAAATCACATATATATATATATATGTACATAAATACATTGTATAGATAAATATCATGTTCAAAATAGATAGTTATATATATATATATCAACATTCAAGTACTATGCACCAGTTCCAAACCCTCACATCCTTTGCCATGTTGCCACAGGCCTGCTCCTTGCAGGATGGACAGGCCACAAAGCCCTGTTCGGCTGCCTGCGGCATCAGGGACCCTGAAAGCTGAAGCAGCGAACTCCAAAGTATGCCATGATTGTGGCTGGGTCTGACTTGGTAAATAAACAACTGTATGATATTCCATGTTCATATTACTACGATGATGATGATGATCACGATGATTATTATTGTTATTACTACAGTATTACATACTATTACAATTACCATATTATGATTACTATTGTTACTATTACAATTTCATTTTCATGGGTCATTAAATGTCCCCATTGAACATCACCCAACCAAAATCGGTATATGGTCTACTAGATGGCTACTATTTCAGGTGATGTCCCTTATATACCCCAATATTCCCAAAATGGGACAGTTACCATCTTTATAACCGATCCGCTGAGCTCCAGGCAGACGCAACGATGATGACTTCACCGCAGGGGCATTGGACTTTTCGCTCACCAGGGGCATCGGGCCTGGGGACCATGGCTGGACCATGGCTGGACCATGGAGACCATGGGCTTTCCATGGGCTTTTGAGCGTTAGAATGGCAGATTTATAGATGTTTAATGATGTTTACCTATGGATTTATAGATTGTACCCTCTGGTAATTTAACATAGCTATGGAAAATCACTATTTTTTTATGGGAAAATCCACTATTTCTATGGCCATTTTCAATAGCTATGTTAAATTACCAGAGGGTAAATGATTCAAGATGATTCAAGATTGAAGATGATTGAAGATGATTGTAGATTATTGTCGAAGGAAGATTAGAAGTCCAAACAGCAGGCAACAGTAAGGGCTGTCAAGATTCAGAGATGTCAAGGGCAAACCGGATCAAGAGAAAGTGGCATCATCAAACAAGGATGTCTAGGAGAAAGAGTTCCAAGAGATGACGCAGCCACCGGCCCTGACAGCCAGGCGGCCAGACGTCCTTCCTATAGGCTCTCCCTTTTCTTTATAGGCTTCCCCCCCTTTGAAAGTTCCGTCACCCGGCTTGCCCGGGCTGGTAGATGATTTTAGATGAGTATAGACTTAGATGATTATAGGGGTACCCCCACTCATCATGCAAGGAATCCAAGATGACTCATGACTTAGTATTGAAACAACCATGGTGATGACTTGGGGATTCCCCATGACTTAAGAACCCCTCAATTCGCTGGCAAAGCCCAACCTGTAGAGCTCTGCTCGGGTGGACAGGAATCGATCCCAAAGCTCGGTACCCTCAAAGACCCCCATGACCTGCGACTGTGAAAATCATGGGATTTTTCCCCCAAGCCCTAGCAATTTGAGTGGACAGTGGACAGGGGAAATGAGGATTGAGCGCAATGAACCACTAGGGGCACCCCATTTTTGGACAAATCCATGTAGGTCATGGAACTGATACAACAAATACAATACATAATATATATGATGTTTTCAAACAGCCGAAAGCTTTTTCATACTTTCGCAGAATATTGCACCCATTGAGAAACCATAGATCTTCAATTGGGTTTGTCTGAATAGAAAACAGGATATCCCAAATTTTGATGGTGAATCATTATAATCATTATATAATATATGTATAATACAATTATATATAATTATATGTGTGTGTGTATATATATATATATACACACCATCTGGTAATCAAACATGGCTTGCCGTGTTAATCCACCATTCAGAGATGATTTTCGCATCAATAAACCTCCATTCACAGGGGATTTCTCCCTGCCATGTTTGATTACCAAAGGGTATCCAGAAAAAACTAATAATAAATATCCCAGTATTAACCGTTCTTTAACCACTATTAAACATTATTAACCACATTATTAACATTTATTAACCACATTTTAACCACTATCAACTCCACTTTTCAGGCCCATCTGTGGCACATCTGTGGCTTTCTCATCGCCTGGAATTCGCTGATGGGACATCCGCACTTGGGCATTGGACAAACGAGCTCCTGCCCGAGACGGCAGTGGCCATAGAAAGCCGTCTGAAAATGGGGGTATCATCATCAACCAGGGGATGTATGGCTTAATTATGATTAATTACCATGTAATTATAATATTGTGTAATCATATGGTATTATCATGAACCGGTGAATTTCGGATTACCATATTTTTTTCGACAAACCCATAGAAAGGCTTAGATTTCGGCAAACAAAACGGAGAATTTGGAGCTGGAGAGCTGGACACCGCGGTCCTGCTCTGAGACGCACTTTTCTCTGATCTTCACCTACCGGGACCAGTGGAGACTGCGACCGGTTGTTGAGCTGTCGAGCTGCACCCCTATATCCTAGTTGATTTGGGACCATCCCATATTTTAGTCTCAAAGTTGTCAAAGAAATCCCTGGCACATATATAGATAAACACCAGGACTGTATAGAAATACTATTTCGAATCAGTGCCACGCATTAAAATATTGAACCTGACGGCCATAAAGCAAAGGTTTCTGACTAGACAGCTACTGAACTGAATCTGCACAGCTATGTGTCTGCTTCAATAAACGAAATCTGCAGGTCCCAGTGTCTTCATGGTGACCAGTAACACTATGACCATATTATTTGGACATGCTTGGAGTCGGCTCTTGACTTCGACTTCGGAACCTCCAGGTAGCCGGAGATGCAGTCCCGGCAGCCAAGATGTCCGCCTTACCACAGCACTGTTTGATGCTGAAATCATTTGCTACGGCTGCGGCTACATCCTGAGCATGCAGCAATCAAGACTCACCTTGGTTCAGCGAAATTTCCAGCACCCTTTTTCAGATTCTGGAAGAAACAGGACTTAATTTTTTGTTTGGCATGGGATTGTATGATATTGTATGGGTATGGGTGAAAATCTTGACACCAAAATGGCAGTGTGTCAAAACCTTGTACCCCTGGTGAACACCAAAATAGCTGGTAAATGGATGTTCATCCCTCTAAAAATGGTATTAATAGGTATTGATTCATAGCCAAATAGCTTCAGCAGCTGGTTGTGGATGTTCATCCCCCTGACTCGATGGTGGCATAAAACATCTCCAAGCGGCTCCATTCTCTAAACGCCACTCCTCGAAACAAATCTGGCAGGTAAAGCGCTCTTTTGCCTCCTGCCAGGAGCACAATCTCATGCCGAAAAAAGGGAGGAAATGGCTTCACCATGGTTCACCACCCAGAAGATCTAGAGAAAATACATCAAGACACATCAAGGTGTCACATTCCATCGATGTTTCACAAGTTCAACGGTGTCACTGGACACCGACTCATCCGTTCTGCTGGGCATGTTGGGCACCTTCTCTGCGACTTCGTTGTCGAAGGATTCCTGCAGCCTGGTGGTCAGATCTACTGCAGGATTGGGCTGGTGTGTTGGAATGTGAGCAAGTAGCCACTTTCTGGTTTCACTTCTCTCCAGTGCCCATGGCATGTTAAGCATGTGGCTGCCGAGCAAAAGCACTATCCTTGGGTAGAGGAAGACGGTGAACAGTGAACGCATAAACTTCCAACCTCTGAGGAAAAATACCAGGCTAAAACGATAACTGAAACTCAAAGCCAAGAGGGACTGCGCTCTCCCAACGGTACAAGATTATGGTAGGGAAGGCAAGCTGTACTCTGCACACAACCAAAGACGGGGCTTAAGGATAATATGCAAACCTGTTGTACCTCCAGCCAGGACAAGCCTATATATATAATATAATTATAATACATTATAATACCATAAGGAGGAAGCTTCAAGTTGTCATGGGGCAAAGGAAGCATGTTCGGAGGTTCACTCTCACTTGGAAAATTGGGTCCATCACAGTTTGCACCAGCATTGAACTCAAAAAACACCGCTGAGCTTGACTCCGTTGAGCCATACTTTCGCCTCTCCTAGCAGCATACCGACCGTCAATCGGGTACCCCTGGGTGCCCCCAAATTCACTGGCTGATCATCAGTATCATACATACGACATACAAGTATGTATATATACGTATATATATATATATATACGTATATATATATATATACATACATACATACATATTATATCATATTATCATACTATATCATCATATATCATCATATATCATCTATATACACCTATCTTTTTGTTTGGACAAACCCGCTTGGGTGTTGACTGTATCTGGCAATTAAGTCTTGTCTGACGTCTGACGTCTGATGGCCTCGCATTTGGGACTGGGAAGTACAGGAGGTTCACCATCCGTCCTGACGGCGTGATATGGGGCGCTGGCTATGGGTCAAAATGGGACCCAATCATCCCATCTGGGGACCCAATTTTGGCTAGCCACTATTCATACACAGTCGGCTAGCGAATGGTGAAACACCTGATGTTAGCAACTAGCAGTTGCTCCGTAGACTTGCGAGAAAAGATTCCAGTGGAGATCTTCACTATGAATCTGGAGACATTTCCAAATAATTCACTAAATAACCTGAAGTTAGTTCAGCAGTTTTGGGAATGACCCCCCTCGTAATTCACCTAATCTATCCAAATAATAGCTGGCCTTTCCATTTCATGAACCCTGGCAAGAAGAAGTTGGACTGGTCTGCAACTTGCCCTGGCCTCACATCCGGGGATACCTTGAATCCACACATTGGCATTTCATGGGAGGAGATTCGCTAATCTTTCAATATCTTTCAATGATTCAATACATCAAAAATCATCAAAAAGGGTCAAAGTTATTTTTTGGTCACGTGACACAGCTTGAAACACTGAAAACTCATCAGCCACATTCAAACGAGCAAAGATTTCGGGATGTGGATGCAATGACCTTTTTTCAAGCTACGAGGTGGCATTTTTTGGCAACTGATGCCAAACATAGGATCTGCATCCACTTTTGCGGAGCAAGATAAGAAGCTTTGAAGCCATTGAGGCAGTCTTTAGACATGTCATCTTCGATGATTGCTAAAGGGTGAAAAGCTTCAAACGAGATTCAAAACACCACTGTCACTAGGCGACGATATCGACGATCTCCTACGCTTTTTGGTTGCCAGCTATCTGTACAGCATTCCACTAAGCCCTCAATAGGATCAAATCTCACTGATCTCCATACTCCATGTAGCTTTCCTGTTCCCTTGGCTGACTCGAGGTGCTCAGACATGCTCATTGCTGAAACCCTCTGCTTGACATTTCCTTCTTCGATTGCATCCAAGTCTTCTGGGTGGAAAGGGGCTGAACTTAGCTAAGACACATTTGCTGCTTGCGCAGTTCTGCCTCAAGCTGTGCTACTCGTCTGCGCAAATGAACTACCTCATCATCCTCAGATTTGCGGCAAATGGGAGCCTGGGACAGTGGAGAAACCATAGAAACCCATGGCAAACAGGGCGTGACTTTCTCTCAACCGAGACAACCTTTTGCCAGCCAACCATCAAAGGGGATAAATTTCAAGCGGAAGTTAGTTCGGCCATTTGGGGATGATTCCCCCAATCTAAATCCCATCATATCTCCAGGGTGCATCCAAAGGTGGATTCGCAGACCAAGAGTAAACCTCACTGCAGGCGCGCGCGCAGGGCGACTGGTCTATGGTTGAATAGCTAGGGGCCTGACCTATCAACAGTTATGATATTTGATATGTGTGAAAAAATGAACTCTACGTACAGCGGATTCATTGCGAAAGAAGTACCAATCTTGTCTTGTCATGATCATAGTCAAATGTCTCACACCTGAAGGTGGAAGAAGATGGAAGAAGCATTTACACACTTTACACTATTTACACTATTTACATCTATTTACACTATTTACACCCCTATGTGGACTCAACTTATTGAACCATATCAGCCAGTTGGGTCCGAGTTGCGATGGGTGGTTTTTTTCGCAGCCTGCGGCTGTCCATCAGGGGAGATGGTGGTCGCTCCTCTGGAGGATAGGGAGCGCATTCGATGGGTTCATCATGGGAACGACCACGACAAACTCCCTTCGCCCTGGCCGTTCCAGGTGCAAGAAAATAGGTACTTTTGAATCACCATCAATTAACACCTCAACCGGCTCGGCTCAACTCGCATTTCTTTATATATATATATAACTCTGGCATCCAAATTTGATCAAATTTCAGGGTACAACCCATACCCAAACATTTCGCATCAGCCAGGGGAAATGATCACTGCACCGGAACAGCTTCGTGATCCTTCATCAAAGTTATAACTGTTTAAAGAAATCAAATTTTGAACATCTCACAACAACACCAAAATTGCAAGACAAACACAATGTCCCAGGACGTGTTCCTCTTCAAACACACAATCAAAGCTCTGATTGCTTTTCAGCAATTCTGTGCTCTGCTCTTTCCAAGGCAATATAATATGGACCCTGCGGCATGCATTGGTAGTCAGCTAGAACAGGAAGTGTCAAATACTCAAAATACACACTTGGAACCATTTAGAACACCTATTGACCTATTGATAAATTCTTCTTGCCCACTTAGCGAACACTTTGATGCCCTTTGATGCCGGAATTGTGTATTCTCGGCCCTCGCGGCCTCTTGAAATTTGAAACTTCTCGAGGACGTGGTGATCTCGGTTTCGCGAGCCTGAGCCTGGGATCTGCCGTGTGTTTGGGTATACAACATATGTCTCATATCTGTGAAAAATCTATGATAGGCAATAATAATACTAATAACAACAATAATGAATAATAGTAACAATAGCAATAATACTAATAATGGTGTGCATGGATATACAACATACATGTTGTTTATTTGCAAAAGGGAATCAGTTGCTGCTCCCTTTCCCAAACAAAGTGATCGAATTCACCAAAAATTTTTAGTCTCATGTTTCAACCCCAATCAAGCAGAATATAAGGAGCGCGGATTCTAGATTATGAAACCTTTGCACCTGTGAACGTCCTCAAAATGATGTACAGGACATCTTCTTGGTTTTTTTTCTGCGCACGTAAAACAAGTGATTTTTTGGGCCCACTCTCACCACAATATAAAACCACATACAGCAAATGACATCTTGGTTGGTGGTGCAACTTCAAGACACCTGAAAACTATGAGTCCATTGGGATTAACATCGCCGTGGCACATGTCCAAGATCTTTTCGGTGTCTCTCCGCATGTTGAGAGCCATCTGCTCAAGAGCTTCCACTCGGGACCTGAGATCAGATCCCATCTCCATGTGGCACAGGAAAAGTTGGAGGCAAACTTGGCCATCTGCTTGTCGGGAATACATTGAATACTTGTTGTCAATAATCTATACATACATTCAAAATCATTACGTGCTTTGGTGTCACTTCCTTGTGAAGCAAACGTCAGAATGCTAGGGTCCACACTCCATGGATGCAATCGTGTTCTTCCCATCCTGTCACGGTGCAAGGACCGCTTTGCAGAAGACCAATAAAATGCCGGTGGCAAAAGTTGTGATATGGTGATGATAGTGATTGTTTTTGCATGCCAAGGCTATGTAAAGCACCAATAGCAGCTGTACAGGTGTATTCTAGATAGTACACTCTGCATGAGGAAAGTTATGGAGCGTTGTAAAGATGTGGTCTTCGACGCCTTGAAGTCTCAATTCCTAGGTAATCACCCTGAAAGAGCAACGGTTCAACAGTGCAACTGGTCAACTTGATCGAATCAGAATAAAAGATTGCGAAGTATGCAAGATGCAAAAGGTCCGGTTCTAAGCTTAACGTTCATTTCCTGGGCCGCTAACTGGAAGTGCCTAGCGCTTATGATCCCAACTTGTCATCCGCGCACGCCTGGCAATCTCTATATGTCGCGACATGGAATCTGAATGCTTTCTAGAATCCAAAGCAGCTCTGCCAGTGCAGAAAAGTGGCGCCCCATTTACGCTTGATCCAATCCAGCTGCTCCAAGCAAAGAGCTCGTTGCCGGATCAACGCTTCCTCGGCGAAAGCTAAATTCAAGAGCAGGCGCCGGGTGGCTGTGATAGCCGCGCGCATGGATCAAATGCTGCCAGTCACACGGGGAAATTTGGACGTTGTGCAATGCATGGGACGCCCCCAACTGTGGACACACCCATTGGCGAACCGTCCGCAAGTCGTTCAGACACTTCTTCTGAAACTCCGGGTTTGTCGGATTAGTTCGCAAAGCGCCGTAAAAGGCTCGTGGTGTGAAGCAAAATCCACGTTATCTGCTCCCTTGCCCTCAATGCAAAGGCCCATATGCAGCATCGCTAGCTGCACATGCACAACAAATTTGGAGGGCCAGCGCACGCAAGAGGTTGCAGAGGCATGAGAAAAGAAACTTGCTCCAGTAGCAATGTAATGCAATGTATTCTGGCCAAATACCTTTTCTTGCACGCTGGCCGGCCAAGGAGTGGAAATCTGCCTTTCTAGCATGAGCTTGCGGGTTCCTTGCCTTACTCCAGCTTCACTCACACTACTTTCACACTTTCCGTGACATGGAGCAAGCTGTCAAACACGCCTCGTGTCGCCCAGACATGCAACGAAAGAAGAAAAAGATGGACAAGCACATTTGGCCAGTGATAGGCACCTATTTGCATATCCCAACTAAATTACGCATTCCAGCTTCCAAACCAACGAAGGCTCCTGAATGTCCCATGTAGAGATTCAGAGCAGAGATGTACGGACCCGGAAGCACGTTCTCAGTTCCAAGAAATACTTCAAACACCAAAAACAGCCAAAAACTTCTGGGGGAAAGTGGAGCTCACACCCCCGTGTCATTTGGGCCTCTGCAAAAGCGCAGCGGCCAAGAAACGTGAGTTGCATGCCACTTTCTGGCCACTGGAAACTTGTGCCATCATTCCAGTCGAACCATCTGCGTAAGGCTTGGCGAGTTAAGGCGTACAGCCGCAAGTGCTCAGACGAGGCTGGGGTTTAGTCCTCCCGGGCACCTTGTAGGAACTCCACAAGGGCTTGCTGGAGGCTAGGTAGGCTGCCCAAGGTTAGCAGGCGCAAGGAAGACTTCCTCCACAAACTCACAGCTACCAATGAAACACAAGGTAGCAACAAGATGCAGCCATAGACGGACAGTTCGCTGCACCTCCGCCTCAGGCCCCCACAGGCGGGGTATAACTCCACTGCGTAGGGGGCCTGACTAGCCAGCAAAACAGGCCGAAACATCTGACCAACACCCTTAGCCAGAAACAGAGTCCCCGGAGCGTAGAGGATGAAGAAGAGGTCCAAATTCTGGAATACTTGTCGTCACCGGAACTGAGGTTGAAACTGGTCCCGTCACTCTGGGAGTTGGTCGAAAACGTATTTGAGCTCGATAATCAACCATTGAAATCAAAGGTCCCGGCCGTTTTACTGAGGGAGATACCGATCCATGTTGTTGGTCTTGAAGTGTTAGGGCCCCGGACTGGTCGTCAAACTTCTGAGATACGAATCCATGTCGTTGGTCTTGAAGTATTAGGGCCCCAGACTGGTCGTCAAACTTCTGGGACAATGAATTCAAAGACAACATTGAAGACCACATCAAGCGCGAAATCATTTGATTGTTTTGAAACGTCATTCCGGTGATAATTCTGAGCTTGTTGACATTGTAAATTTTGTCGTTCCATTACCTCCATCTGACATAACAGCAGATGGTCTTTGAGAGTCAGCCATACTAATGGACATCGATTGGGCAGCACGAAGTTGGTTCATTTGTTGAGAAATACTGGTGAATTTGTTGAAACATACTATTGAGAAAAACACCGGACCAATAGGTAAGGCAGGGGTTGGACCAAATGCTTTGGCAAGTGCGCCGGGCATCATGGCAAGCAAAATTGGGCGAAACAAGCCGAAACAAATTTGACCAAACAAGAAAGTTCTGAGGCTCAGAGGTGTGCGCCGTTGAGACTATTAAATCGCCTTTATGGCTGCTTCTCCCATGTGGGTACTTCGCCCTTATGGCTACGTCGCCATGTGGCTTACCAAGATTTCCGTGTTGAACTTGGAAGGTCCACCTAAACATTCAGAACTTCCTTGCACTCGAAGTGCAAACGGCTTCAAGATGTTGGCAACATCTCTCTCTCTCTCTCTCATTCCGGGAAAATGCCTGGCCATCACTTCTATCCACGTCGAAACATGTCGAAATGTAGAGACTGACGGTACAACCAATTGAGGTTAAGTACCCATGATGCTTCCCCTATCACATTCCAGCTTCGTGGGACCAGGTTGGATGTGATAGGCCTGGCCCCCTGCGTGTTGATATCATTAAACATTTGAACTTTCGGAAAGTTTTTAACACTGCATGTGACTAGCAGTTTATATACACACACACACATACGGTTTGCCCATTCACTAGATACTAATATGGTTCCTTATATTCTCATTACGAGCTACCAGTTGGCAAACCATTCGTACCAGTGGAATTCACTTACGCTATAGCTATCATTTCATGATGGTATCATATGTCATACTGCATAAAAATCTATGTGCCATTGGGGTTTCCCAAAATGGGGGTACCCATTTTAATCATCCACTTCAATAGGATTTTTAATTATAAACCATCCAGCTATTGGGGTATCCCCATTCAATCAAACCCCTTCATTGGTTTTGGCTAATGAAGGCTTGGTCCCAGATGTCCCAGCATGTTTTCCAGTCTACGCAGGCCTGAGCAGCAAACACATCTCCAGCCCTGGAGGGGAAGACTGGAAAAGTCACACAATGGGACAGAAATGGGGAACATGACGACATAAATATCGATAAACATCGAAAAACACCGATATACATTGATAAACTATTAAAAATTGTGGTATCCTACTTTCGGACAAAACTTAATCTCTTGCTTCACTTCATCCATCTATTTTTCCTCCAAACATATTCAACGGAATTCAACGATCCCGAGAATTGAATGGAGGAAGCATGTACCGGACTCCCTTACTGATTTCATGGTAAACACATGGTTAAAACGATCTTTTCCTGTAAATCCTGTCTTGAACCAACCCACCCCACGGCCCCTCGGGTCACATGTTCTCTGCCTCGCAGCAAGGGCACTCCGTGGTGTCATGGCAGATCCACGTGCAGATCCTCCAGACCCAGAGTGGTCTGTGCCGGAGCCGGATGAGTGCACGCACCTGTGCGAATCACTCCTGGCCGGGCCGCAATCCCCGCATGTCCCGGCAGAATGATGCCTGAATGAATAATAATAATAACTAGACGACGGATGGCCCGAGAGCGTAGAGGAGCAGGGTCTTCTCTTGTTAGTATGGAGACACCATATTACAAACAATATATTAAAGATGTGTTATAGGCAGTCGAGAAGAAGATTATCAAGACAAAATAGCAGAAGTGCAAGACAATAGTTTGCATCGCAAACACTTTTACACACAGAAGCTTTTACACACAGACGCTTTTACACACAAAAACTTTTACACACAGAAGCTTTTACACACAGAAGTTTTTACACACAGAACCTTTCACACACAAAGGCTTTTACAGACAGACACTTTCTCACACAGATGCTTTTACACAGACACTTTTACACACAAAGCTTTTACCCACAGAAGCTTTTACAGACAGAAGCTTTTACACACATACGCTTTTACACAGATGCTTTTACACACATGCTTTTACACACAGACATTTTTACACACTGACACTTTGACACACAGACACTTTTAACAAAGAGCCTTTTACACACAGGAGCTTTTACACACAAACACTTTTACACACAAACACTTTTACACACAGAGACTCTTATACACAGAAACTCTTATACCCAGACGCTTTTACAGACAAACGCTGTTACACACAGACGCTTTTACACACAGACGCTTTTACACACAGAAGCTTTTACACCCAGAGGCTTTTACTCACAAACACTTTTACACACAAACACTTTTACACACAGACGCTTTTACACACAGACGCTTTTACACACAGCCGCTTTTACACACAAACATTTTTACACACAGACACTTTCACACAAAGACGCTTTTACAAACAGAGGCTTTTACACACAAACACTTTTACACACAAACACTTTTACACACAGACGCTTTTACACACAGAGGCTTTTACACACAGAGGCTTTTACACACAGACGCTTTTACACACAGACGCTTTTACACACAGAACTTTTACACACAGAAGCTTTTACACACAAACACTTTTACACACAAACACTTTTACACACAGACGCTTTTACACACAGACGCTTTTACACACAGAAGCTTTTACACACAGAAGCTTTTACACACAAACACTTTTGCACACAAACACTTTTACACACAGACGCTTTTACACACAGACGCTCTTACACACAGACGCTTTCACACACAGACGCTTTTACACACAGACGCTTTTACACACAGAAGCTTTTACACACAGAAGCTTTTACACACAGACACGTCCAGCACAAGTAAAGTCGCAATTTTACCTCAGTTTTTGCCGATCGACCCTCATTTCGCGCGAAAGGGTTGCTCCGGCACAAGTCAAATCGCAATTTTTTCTCAGTTTTTGGCGATCGACCCTCATTTCGTGCGAAAGGGTTGCTCCAGCACACGTAAAATCGCAATTTTTCCTCAGTTTTTGGCGATCGACCATCATTTCGTGCGAAAGGGTTGCTCCGGCACACGTAAAATCGCAATTTTTTCTCAGTTTTTAGCGATCGACCCTCATTTCGTGTGAAGGGTTGCTCCGGGACAAGTAAAATCGCAATTTTTCCTCAGTTTTTGACGATCGACCTTCATTTCGTGCGAAAGGGTTGCTCCGGCACAAGTCAAATCGCAATTTTTCCGCAGTTTTTGGCGATCGACCCTCATTTCGTGCGAACGGTTGCTCCGGGACAAGTCAAATCGCAATTTTTCCTCAGTTTTTGGCGATCGACCCTCATTTCGTGCGAAAGGTTGCTCCGGGACAAGTCAAATCGCAATTTTTCCTCAGTTTTTGCCGATCGACCCTCATTTCGTGCGAAAGGGTTGCTCCGGCACAAGTCAAATCGCAATTTTTCCTCAGTTTTTGACGATCGACCTTCATTTCGTGCGAAAGGGTTGCTCCGGCACAAGTCAAATCGCAATTTTTCCTCAGTTTTTGCCGATCGACCCTCATTTCGTGCGAAAGGGTTGCTCCGGCACAAGTCAAATCGCAATTTTTCCTCAGTTTTTGCCGATCGACCCTCATTTCGTGCGAAAGGGTTCACGTTTCGTGACTCCCCGCCGGCACCACCCTCGGCCTAAAGAGAGAAAGATAAAGAAGGCGAGAGAGAGAAAAGGGAGAGAGAAAGGAGAGAAGATGTGAAGATGAGAAGGTGTGAGAGAAGGTGTGAAGAGGAGCAGATGTGAGAGAAAATGTGAAGATGAGCAGATGTGAAAGAAGATGTGAAGATGAGCAGATGTGAGAGATGATGTGAAGATGAGCAGATGTGAAGATGAGCAGATGTGAAGATGAGCAGATGTGAGAGAAGATCTGAAGATGAACGGATGTGAAGATGAGCAGATGTGAGAGAAGATGTGAAGATGATCAGATGTGAAGATGAGCAGATGTGAAGATGAGCAGATGTGAAGATGAGAAGGTGTGAAGATGAGAAGATGTGAAGATGAGAAGGTGTGACAGAAGGTGTGAAGATGAGAAGGTGTGAAGATGAGAAGATGTGAAGATGAGAAGATGAGATACAGACCCCCACTATTGGAAGAACCCTGCGCTCAGACGCTCTCGGGAATAATAATAGAAAATAAAATAATAATAATAATAATATTAATATATACATATATATATCTGATATATGTCTGGGTCATCAGGGAAATCACCCATTTGTATCCATTTGTAGTCTTAAAGAAATGGTACTACGTCATACTACGTCCGTGAATGCCCAGCAGGGGAATCACTACGTACCAACATCATCCAACATCCAACATCTGCTTCGATGTTAAATATGCCTCAGTGAGGAAGAGGATGTGAACCCTCATCTGGATCAAAATGGCAAATTCCAAACTTCGAATCGACACCATTGGACTTACACTCTTTACATCCTATACCTTTACAGGAAATCGTATTCATGTATATTTATGTGATTTCCTAATTCATCCTTCATGCTCCGTCCCAAAGAACCTCCCGAAACGGCGCCTCCGGTTTTTTGACTTTCTGGCCTTTGCCCTTGGCGAATCGGTGTGGCTGCGGTGGTTTATGCCGAGCTTTTCCATTGGATTTTGTCTAGATACTTCTAGATTCTATTAAATGTTTGAACACGTCGGACATTCTTGGTACGTGCACACTTTATCTTAAGAGGTGCAACAACTGGAACAATCCTACACAAACTAGGCATCTATATGTATATATATATGTATATTCGACAAAACTCTGGCACAACATGGGGCTCCAAGACACGTCCCACCCTCGCCATCACCATAGAGGATGTCCAGTGCCTGCATCACCATGGTCTGTTTCTGGAATAGTCGCATCCATAGGCTTCATGAGCATTGCAATGTACTACCAGTACATGTACATATGTATATTATATGTACATATATATATTATATGTACATATATATATATATGTACAAATACTGTATGCATATATATATACATGTATAATCATGTATATATGTATGCATACGCAAATCTATATGCATACGCATATCTATATGCATATGCACCTGTATATGTACACGTGTGTATGTAGATATATACACATATATGTACATGTATAATCATGTACATATGTATGCAATCTCATATCTATATGCATACGCGTATCTATGTGCAAATGCAACTGTACATGTACATGTGTATATATATATACATATGTACATGTATAATCATGTATATATGTATGCATACGCATATCTATATGCATACGCATATCTATATGCATACGCATATCCATATGCATATGCAACTGTATATGTACATGTATGTACATGTATGTACGTGTATGTACATGTATGTACATGTATGTACATGTATGTACATGTATGTACATGTATGTACTTGTATGTACATGTATGTACATGTATGTACATGTATGTACATGTATGTGTATGTATGTACATGTATGTACATGTATGTACATGTATGTACATGTATGTACATGTATGTATGTATGTATGTATGTAGGTAGGTAGGTAGGTAGGTATGTAGGTATGTATGTATGTAGGTAGGTAGGTATGTATGTAGGTAGGTAGGTATGTAGGTATGTATGTAGGTAGGTAGTATGTATGTATGTATGTATGTATGTATGTATGTGTGTATATATATATAATATAGATTATACGTATACATGGCCACCATTGTCCAACCTTCACCCAAAAATCGCTCCCCCCACACTTGTCGCGCCTTCCGAGAGTTGCCCAAAATGTCTCCTTAGGGCGGCCCGTGTGTTTTTTTCGCCATGGATGTCTGAAAAATGGTGGCTAAAACCCCCCAAATGGCCAACATCTATGAAAATCTGGGGAACATGATGAAAAACCATGATAAACCATGGGATTTTCATGGATTTTTTTTTTTGGGTACTTTCAGACAGACCCATTTCACGTACTAGCAAATTCATATAACAATCACATGTCACCATACAAAATCACCCATTTGTAATTGCTTTTCCCGCTGAAAGTGAGTCAGAGGATTGTCCATCACCATCTTCTATAGATCACCAAAGGGTGACTGAGGTACAAAAGGAGTCATCCGCACTTCATATACTGTATCAGTCGTGCTTGGGGGTCATCGCTCCGCTGTTGGGGCAAACTGAAGTTGACAAGGCAATGAAGGAGCAAAGTAGAACAGGTTCGATCTATGTGTCTTGAGAGCTATGCCCCTGAAAGCCTATCTTAAAGCGACAATCCTGGCAGAGAACTTTATCGGAAGCATACCGTTCCTGTCATGGTTTCAGAACGGGTCCGACAAGTTCAAGGAGAAAGTTTTCAAAAGAGTCACCAGTTATGGCAGTGGACACTCTGGTCGGTAAAAACATCCCCCCTTTTGTTCATCAACATTCCCATTGTTTCAATGAAAACACACTCCGCCGGTCAAGCTACGGTGTGTTGAGTTCACAAAGTACAGTGTCAATATTATAATATTCATTAAAACAACGCAATCTTCCAAGTTTTTCGTTGCAAGTCTCATGAATTTTCCATCTGTAGGTTTCCTGAGTCATGGGGGGACATCCAGTTATCCATTTTGGGAGTGTCCATGACATAAAACCATAATAGAACATGTTCAGTTATCATCCATAAAAAGCAATTTTGGGGGTACATCCAATCATCCAGTTATCCACTTCAATAGGATGTTCAATTACCCTCTGGTAAAGGTTCACATAACTATGGAAAATCACCATTTTGAATGGGTAAATCCACTATAAACGGCCATGTTCAATAGCTTTTTGTATCTTCACCAGAGGGTATAAACCATCCAGCGAGCCCGCTGGTACCCCCATCCGTTCCCCACGGCGCCGCCCAGGCACTGCATTGCTTCATGAGACGATCCAACTCTAAGGGCTTCGCGCTGGTGCTGGCCTTGAAAATTCCTGCTGGATAGATATCCGGATATGTTGATATCATATAGGATATATCACGATAATACAATAATATACAATAATTATCCAAATATATCACGATAATACAATAATTATCCAATACCTAGATCATACAAGATCTATAGTATCTATATCATGAATATCTAATATTTGCTTTAATGATACATGGGCTGATAGAACTGGGATAAGCTGGTAAGATACACATGACACATGACTAATATGGGATTTTTTATTGGTGTTCATAGGATTCAATGGACCTACGGTGTGTTCTTCCAACCGGTGGATGGATTCCCGTGGTGTAATGTCCTGGGATGAGGTCATTGGGGGATGGTCATGCCGAATATTTACCGATGACTCTTGGGGACACTAACTGAAAATAGGGAATCATATACTTAGATATACTATGATATACTTAGTGCATTCTGGGTGAACAAAACATCAGAATTTTCACGGACCATTTACTCACCAGCATTTCATGGGATGGGATGTTTGGTGCTTTTCCAGAGGGAAACGATCATACTTCCAATACTAGGAATTTATAATGACATTTTTTGATTGTTCCCAATTTCATTGTATATTCCCCCAAAAAGAGGTTTTGTCTGAAAATGGGGGATTTGTCCCAAAGATGGAATGAGGTACCCTGTTTTCAGGCATCAAACCTATTGGTTTGCCCACTAGAAATGACTAATTCAGACCCATCAGCATGTCCAAATCTCTGATTGACGGCGTCTCACGCTCCTTCGCAGAATTCATCCGTTTCCAATGTTCCTCCACCATCGTAATCCAGCATTTCCTGGGCTTCAACTCCAGAGCAATCCAGGGAAGCAGTCAACAAACACCATGTATTACCTGTCTGGGGGTTGCGGAGACAGATATCTACATGCACATAGCTGACATAGCTATCATCGCTATCATCTGGTGTTGTTTGATCTGCTCTGTACAAAAGGATGTTTTGTGCAGCGAAGACACGAAAAGGGTTGGAATGTCCTCAGTGCCTGCAATCTCGAAGAGGGACTGCATCACATCCTCAAAGACGTTCAACCAGAAATGAAACCATCAGCCCTAACACTACTTAACGCTAGTTTTCATCCGGAATGCAGTAGGATTCCATCGTTTTCAAGACAGCAAGACATGAGTGATATGGGTTTGTCTGAAAATAGGGCAGCCCCAAAGTTTCAAATCCACTGGTCAATCATCATTATCCCAATCTGAACATGGACATTTGGGGGCACGAATCCATTTTCAAAGAAACCCATCATATTCGAAGCCGGATTTCTCCAGTTCTCTCCAAATCTGGCCCCTTGAGTTCTCCAAGGGACTGCTGGTGCAGCATTGATTTCGTCAAGAGTTAACTCTCCGGAGCCATCTTCATCCAACTCATCAAACATCAACTTCAACTGTGCCTGGCGATTTCACATGGGGAAACCTTGATATTTTGGGGTACAAATTTTTGTACACCTAAATCCAATGGGCATCATCATTTTCCCCATGTTTTTTTTTGCATTTTTGGACATCCCCCATTTTGTTAGTTGTGTATATTGATGTCTATTGTATATTGAAGGCTTGTTCTACCGGGTAGGTCTACTGCACCCATTTTATATATATATATATTATATATATATATCCCTGGCCATCCCTGGCCAGTTGCTGATAAAAAGTATACCAAAAATGTCATCATTTCACAATGTCATATCCACCTTGGGAGTCCGATGAACCCGCCATAGGGTGTCCCCAATATTCTCATGTCTGTGAAACATATCCCGGAAATTTCCGGGCGGCCAGAAAAAGAAGCCCCATTAAGATCCCATCTGGTTGATTATAATAGGTATCTTAACATTCATTATCAACCAGTAGATGATACATAGTGATATAGTTATCCCATCTACTATTACTGGTAACTATATTAATATCATCTAATATCTATATATCAATTGGTAAACTATAGTTATCATCCCTGTCTTATCCCTATGGCCATACTTATCACCAGTCCGCAGGTGTCCGCAGGTGAAACCCGTTGTTAAACGTTGGCAGGTCAACCATCTGGCGTTTCTTCTTCGCCTCGGAAAGACGAAGAGTCATGAAGAGTCCTACGGTACCTGCCTACCTACCAATACCGATACCTCGATCTCTATTTCTATAGTTCTGTATATATATATATATATGTAATATATATATATGTACTATAATATAATATATGTGTTATATCGCGTAGTATCAGATACATCCGCATCTTGCGTCATGTTCCGCTCATTGATCATGTCTCAAATCATTCAAGGTAAACCCAGTTTGTTTCCGGGGTTCGGAATTCTTCAGACAGCATGAAATCATATGAACTCTGTTGTTGGTCAAGAAACCTGCTCGTGGTTCTTGCGCAAGCTCTTGTCTTGTTCGGCAATGGCCAAAGCACCTTCGACCTTGGAGAATCATTGCAGACGATCTTGTTCCTCCTTTGCAAAGGGAGCATGTTTTACTTGGTGCAACTCGTTCTCTTCTAACTCCTGTTCTGACGTTTTGTCATGTTTGATCATCTTATAAATCTTACCATCTGGTTATTTAACATAGCCATGGAAAATCACCATTTTTAAATAGGTGAACCAACTATAAATGGGCCATTTTCCATGGCTATGTTAAATTACCAGAGGGTATATCCTCTGAACGCGGCCAACCACACTGTCCAACCTGCGGTGGAAAAGTACGGACAGAAAACTGTGGCTCCCGCCATGATTGCTGTCACGAGGTTCATCAGGGCGATTGAAAGCACAAGCAACACCTGGGCAGTTCTCAAGGGAAATTACAGAGAAATTGGTCCCAAGTCTCATGGCACGTTCGAACTGTGTTTGAACACATATCAAACATGTCCTAAAAACTCACATGAGTCAGTTTATCGCACATCGCCATTTTTTTTCCTCCCAGGCACTGCCATGAAATAGAAGAAGAGCCAAGGTCTGTGTTGGACCAATGGTCGGTATATGGCAGCAATGCCTGGATGCCGAGTTCCCTGAACCAATGGTGCCAAAGGGGGCAACAAAAAATACACTTGAAAAACCGTCAGAAGCCAGAATGCATCAAATGGCAGTCACAGGAACTAATACTATACATACATATATATAATATATATATATATATTACAATTTATATTACTTACATATGTAAATAATTAATTGCAAATATGTGTAAATAATTTGCCTTGATTTTCGCAACCAGCTTCAAAGCCTTTTGGGTGCCAACATTCTTTTTGCCACAGCCACAGCGTCGCACCAAGATGCTGTCGAAAGTAAAGAGCTGCACCAAGGTGAACACGGAATTGTCCAGGCCGCGAAAGTATTCCAGAGCCTCGGCATGTTTTGCTTGAAGCTTAAGGTTTGATGTGTTTTTGTCGAGTCTTTCCGTGCCTGAAACATCTCAGTTGCTGCTTCTGAGAACAACCCAGGTACAGTAGGTGAAACATGTCAGGCTCCAAAAAACCCATAGAATTTGCATGGCCTAAAGCAAAACGAATAGAGTCGAGGCCAAGTTCTACGCCCAGCCGACTGAGATCTTCGCCGCTACATTGTATGGATGGTCTGGTGGCAGGGAGAGGTCGTAGTCACATAAATCCATCCTCAGAGGCTACCAGTTGGCACCGACACCAGTTGGCCCTGGGAATCCCTTGGAATGAGTTGGAATCCCTGGGAATCCCAAGGGGAATCCCAAGGGGAATCCCTTGGAACCTGGAACCCTAGCATCAAATCAATGAGATCTAAGTGATCCAAGAGCCCAACCCGAAGAGTGCTCCGATGTATGAAAGGATGCTCATCAGCAAGAAGGTCCAAAAGAGTGTGTTGGCCTCAGATGCGCCGAACTCCCAAGAATTTGGGAGTGGCAGTGCTATGTGCTATCATCTGCATATCACAGAAGTATGGAGTAAAACTCTCTCTGCACAAAAAATCCACGGCGATTCCTTAAGATCCCCGACACAGGACATGAGGCCGTTCACCAGTTTCCACAAGGTCTGGAACTGGACAATCAAACGCACAAGTCCTTAGAGGAGTGGATGACTCCGGATGCATCGGATGGACCTTCTTTTCATTGATTGACTTACTTCACTTTGTCCTGTGTCCAAATTGTGTAGTCTGTAGATATTATAGATCAATATAGATCATATGCATACATACAACTTGCTTTTGAAGAGTAACGCAAATCAAACTGATGAGCAGAACAGCTTGTGAGACTCTTCGGTCACAGTATTTTGACTTCAGCAAAGCTACTTGCCAACCGTGCCAATCGAAGCAGCCGTACCAGCCTCAGCGGACAGTAGCCGTGTGGCTTCTTGGAGAAGGAGCGTGTCACCACGTTCCGTCAAGAAGCAATGTAAGACAGAATTACACCACGAGCAGAAGAGACAGAACACATCCAAGAAAAAGATGCGTACATCCGCAGAAAGACTTCACTGTTCAAGACTCGAGATTTTATGGCTTACCGGCGTTACCGGGATTGAGCTTCGACATTTGGGCACTAATGTACCAACTACCACCGCCTGGACATTGTGGTATCTTACTCGCTTCTTCTGTGTGATGCTTTACATGCCAAGAGCAGGCTTCCAAAATGGCCATGCATCCAACTGGCTCTGTGGCACTGTGGGGAGAGCACACTTGTTCGATGTGAGATTAATGTGATATACATATATACTTATATATATATGTATATTGATATGTATATATATATATAACTCTATATATATATATATATACATGTCAATATACATTATATATATATACATGTAAAATCAACCCTGGACCCGTCAGCAGTTATATATATATACACATATAAAATCAACCCTGGACTCGTCAGCAGTTCTTGAGAGGTACCCCGTACCCTCACAGTTAACCAGCCCTAATGTAGTAGTTCAGGGTTGACATTCTAGGCATGATGGTATGGTCATAAAATCCTGGGCCTGTAGCCTTCGCTTAGGTTCCCTAAACGGTTTGAAACGAGCATGGCACCTCTGGCAAATCCAGCTGGGGCACCGGGCACCATGTACAATTATTCAATAGTTGGGATTGTTGTTGTGGGCACGAGCCAAACTTATTCTATGGAAAACCATCCGCAGAACGTTGCCCTGGAGGCACCGACACTTAAGTTCTTGCCATGGAGCATCACCTGCTTCAGAAACTCAGCATCGACAGCAGTCCTGGCGATGGCGCAAATTCACGAGAGATTGCCTTGCCCTTATCAGTGACTCAATGCAAAGAGACTTTAAAATGAATAATCGTTATTCTAGAATATTCTAGATTGCTTTTGCTTGAGGTGCAAATGTTTTGGACCTTTATTGAGTTTAGAAGTACTCATCAGTTTGACAGGAATCAGTGCTGCCCAGCTTCGCTTTGAGTATAATATCCGCGGTTGCACTGGCAACCAGGAACATATCGAATTTCACCCAGTTGCTCTTCACAACACGGGGGCCGAAGGCGCAAAAGCGAAGAACTAATTCCAGAATGTAGATCCCAAAGAAGGCATAATCCTGCAGCTGCCGGGATTCGGGGATTCGGCCGAGGATCTGGATCTGGGAGAACATCATGATATGAGTTGAACTTGGACTCATACAGACGACATGATACTGACAATATAATACACAATAGAACATATGTAGAATATATGCATATAAATATAAACATATATATATATATATAAATAAATGATTATAAATAAATAAATAAATATATATATATATATTATATTTTTTAATAAGATATTCCTGGCAAATATGTGTAGATAAGGTTTTCAAGACGAACACGGCAAGCGCCTTCGCATCGAATTATAAACACACCAACTCCAGCCTATTGCACCTTCAGTACAATAGGAAAATCTACAGGAACCTCCAACCAATGGATATCCAGAGCCATAACTTGTGGCCAAGGTTCCACAATGGCAACCCAAGGGTCCGCCAGTCGACACACAGTACCCGGGTGGACGCACACACAGTTTTCGTCGCATCCCAAGGGGATTCGAGCCTGCACCTGCGTGTCGACACCTGAGTGTACGGGTTTGTCTGAAAATGGATACTGCACACCAGTATACCTCCCAAATGGATCCAAATGGCACGTTTAGATACTTTTAGAGAACATGATGATAAATCAGTTGATGTAGGGTACCTGATTTCAAACCCCCATGACACAAGGGTTCCAGGGTTGAAATCTCCAAGTCACCGATGGTGAGGCCGTTCGCCAGAATGATCATGCCAATAAAGGAGTCAAATCCAGGCCAGCTCACCAGTTTGTGGCATAATTTTCTCCAGGCCGGCAACCTGGTACCAGTTGGATCAAAAAACGGCTGGGCGTTTTCATGATAGCAAGAGGTCGAGAAAATAAGGTCTGTTGGGCCGAAACTGTTAGAGGATGTGTGCAATACATAAACGCATTAAAGCCCTACCTCCCCCATCTAGGAGGTTTGAAAGACAACCCGTTGCGTGCATGTGAATCTCTTGCATTCTCTTGTTATGTACGGTCCAATCTCTGTGCTCATGATGTCATGAAGCTACTGAGTCAAACCGATGATGATTGACGACGACGACGACGACGACGACGGCGGCGGCGGCGGCGACGAAGGAGGAGGAGGGGGGGAGGAGGGAGGAGGGAGGAGGAGGAGGAAGATTAAGATGAAGATAAAGATGAGGATGAGGATGAAGATGATCACGTCGTATCATGGTGATGAACAAACAGCAATCTCCGGTAATGATGATGACGTGTCAATAAACATCACTCCAGCCCAAACGAGGGACCAAGCACCTGCTCATCCGCCAAGACGTGCCCGCAAAAATGCCATGAGTGGGGATGCATCATGAGGGTGTCAGGAGATGTCAGGAGTGCACTGTGCTGACTAGTTTTACCTGAGATCATCCATCCAGGAAATTTGCAGTTGAGCTTCTCCTCTGAATCGATCAGATTGGCTGTGCCTTTGCGTGCCAACTGTCGGCGACCATCAGCCGTGACGGCAGCTTCTTCGTCCAAGGCCTCCGCAACCGCCTGTCTGAACGTTGAGGGACATCCCTATCAACAACCTCTGGTTCATTTAACATGTATTCAATGTAATTATTGGCCAATCCCCAATCTAGAATGGCACAAAATATCAAGAATCTAACTCTTAACTTCCCTACCTAAAGCCAATATAGACCTTTTTCATGCTGTGTAGCCATCTTCGTTGGCAAAATAGCTAGTTGGGAATCAAATCCAGCCCGCTTCTCGCTTAAACTCTGGAGGTTTAAACTACGTATTTTAAAATCAGGCTACCCCCAAAATTGGATGGTTGAACATCTAGAATTATCATGGATAGTTTTTTTGGGATCCAGCCCAGCCATCCCTTCCGTGCCGTCCTGGTGGCTTTTGCGGATCTGCTGTGTGTGCGACTTTCTCAGCTCCTCGCCGTGTCCCTTGTGGGACCTGGGTCGCCAGTTGTCTGCGTATCTCCTTTGTGACCGGGAAACGCCAGGGGCCCATGATGGCCCATGGGTCCCTCGATGTTTTTCCTTAAGACTTCCTCGAACCAAAGAAATGAATAGAAATGATGGATAATGACATACTGCAAGGTTAAATCACTGTAAAAGGTGAGGATTTGAAGAAAATGACTATAAAATAGCACAGAAACACTCAAATATGTTCCAGCTCACGCCTTAAACAATGCCAGTTTGGTTCAACATCACATGTGGGTAAGGTTCCAACTTTTGCACCAACAGTTTGCGTGGAAAATTTGGATGCTTCGGTCGAGAGGCGTCCGGTGATGCGAAACGTCTTCGTCATCGGTTCTGCTCGCTTCGTTGTCAGAAGCCTCCAGGAACTGCTGGCAGATGCTGGCAGAACTGCGAGACGATCATCTGATTGAAGCAAGCTCCGAAGACTTACTACCCTCTGGTAAACGTTTACATAACTATGGAAAATCACCATTTTTTATGGGAAAATCCACTATAAATTGCCATTTTCAATAGCTATGTTAGTTTACCAGAAGGTAAATGATTTCGACTTGCCGAAGAACATTCATCTAAAATCTGAGAGACAGGCTGAGTCTACATTCAAACCATGGATAGTCTGCTGAAAGACACTACTCACTTCCGGCATGGAATGGAGGAGGCTACATTCAGTCCTAGGCCACATTGCTGATAAAGCCAAGTTGCCACTGCATTTGGCAATTGTTCCAGCATGGCACCAGCGCGTGAGCATGAAATTCACTCAACAACGTCAGGGTTGCGCTTGATTGATTCTCCAGGTTGTTTCAATATACTGGCTTTGGCAATGATTGCAAAGTAGTCATCCAATGTGTTGCTAGAAGAACATTGATGCCAATCGGCCCTAAGGTTTTTAATCACGCTTGGGAACTACATCACCAACTTATTTCTTCAACTGAGACATAAGAGCGGCAGGAAGATCTAGTCTATGGCTGGTCTCATTTGTCGCTGTTGATTGTTAAGATGGGATCGATCACCATCATCCATCACAAACACCTGAACATCGTGTGTTTAAAGTCTCATTTCTGGTAAATAACTATAGGGATAGTTGATGGTTGTTGCGTCCTGATATTGTTGGCACAATCCCACTCGATTCACACTGATATGCCCTTTATTGCAGGTCTACCATTGCCAAGAAACGAGGATTTCTTAAGTAGGGGATCCCCCAAATCACCCAAAATGGGCTGAGGTGTCCCCCCGATCAAAGGTTTTGCACCCAACAAATTGATCAACACCCTTCAAGATCAATTGTTGATCATGGATGGAACCCCCTTAAGAAAAGCACACGTTATATCTATCATATATCTATAACCTATATACATATTTATAATAATGATAATAGTTACATATATATATATATAATTATCTGGTTGGTGGTGCAATAACCATCTTGAAAAATATGAGTTCGTCAATTGGAAGGATGACATCCCATATATGATGGAAAAAAAAACCTGTTCCAAACCACCAAGCAGATATATGTGTATATATATAATTATATATATATATAATTATATATATATAATTATATATATCCTGAGGCGTCCGGCGTAGGCGTAGCCATCACTCGCTGGTGGCTGAGCCCCAAACCGTCCAGCACCTGGCGGGCAACAGCTACCACCTGGGAAATCTCCGAACAAAATGAAGGTTTCAGTGGGGAGAAACATAGGAAAATAGGGAAACATATGAGAAAATCATGGAAAATCCACTATCAATGAAGGTTTTAATGGACAAATCAACTATTTAAATGGTGGATTTTCAATCGCCAGGCTACCGCAGAACAAATATCTCCAGATATCTCCATGGATCATCTCCTGCCTTGATCGACTTTTGCCATGGATACACTACAAACGGCTTGAGCAGGGGGCGGCTGTGGCTGCGTTTTTGCTGTTCTGACAGCGCAAGGGATTGACATGGATTGACTGCAAAAAGTTATGCGGCTTTGGTGACTTTCAAATCTTTCAAGTCTCATATCTTCTCCAGAAACATAACGCACCTGCTGGGAAATGGTCGAATGCCTCACGGCGGGCCTGCATCAAAGGACACTCGGATGAGGTGTTCAAATCGAGGTAACGTTCTCAAATGAGCATTTGTTCTTTGCTTATTTTCGGACAGGCACAGTTGTGTGCCCGATACACATTCAAATCATTCAACTTCTTTCCAGGAAAACCTGTTCGCTGCAACCCTGACGTTGCACCGCGTCTGACTTCAGGTGGCTATGAAGATAAAGTTGATGTTATTACCCCAATCAACATATTGTTCATAGGGGATGGCAAATGTTGATCCCTTATGAAGACAAAGTTGCTGTTATTACCCCAATCAACATATTGTTCATAGGGGGTGGCGAATTTGGATCCCTCATGAAGATCAAGTTGATGTTATTACCCCAACCAACATATTGTTCACTGAGGTGGCGAATTTTGACCCCTCATGAAGATAAAGTTGATGGATGTTATTACCCCAGTCAACATATTGTTCAGAACGGGTGGCAAAATTTAATGTGATGATGATCATGATGTGATGATGTGATGATGTGATGATGTGATGATGTGATGATGTGATGATGTGATGATGTGATGATGTGATGATGTGATGATGTGATGATGTGATGATGTGATGATGTGATGATGGTGATGGTGATGGTGATGGTGATGGTGATGGTGATGATGATGATGATGATGATGATGATCATGACGATTGTAAGTGTGGAGCAACGTTCGGGTTGGGGCGAACATGTTTCCGTCGCTTGCGCTTTGATTTGAACAACCGTCTACTCTTGTTCCCATTCATCAAAGCCGGCAACCTTGCTTCTTGCCTAGTTCTGATGCCTTACTGAAGCTGACGCTTCCCAGCAGATCCACCAACATAGCTGCGGTCATAACAATTAACACAAGGCTTTAAAATGAGGCATACACCTAGACATTGCCAGTAAACGGGGAATAAAAAACAGCTCATCAGTGGATTTGGGCCCCATTCCACCCCATTTACAAACAAACCACAACAAAGCAACATAGGTTTGTCGGAAAAATAGGATACCCACAAATTCCTATGGTTTATCAGTTTATCATGTATCATCATTGTCTGTTTATATTAAAGTTGCCATGTAGAAGTTTTCCCCACATTTTAAAAGGGCAAAGCCAGCACGAAGACCCGCCGTTCGCCTCAGCATCTTTCCCATCGCCCTTGGCACCAGCCACTACGGCGGCTTCGAAGGATTGAGCCTCCGAAGCGGGAATGGGGGTCCCGGGGTCCCATTGGGGTGTCACGGTGTCACAAGAAACTCAAAGAAATATCATCATGGTTTCATCATATTTCATCTATACTGACGCAGTGACCAGTAATTACAGAAATATTACAGAATAAGCATCTATCAAATGGCATGGTTCTGGGCAAGTTGTTTTAACAAAATATCAAATCAGAAACAAATCATACTCTTGGCGTGAGCCCTTCCAAACACAATCATTCACGGCGACCTCATTGTGAGGTTGCTGAAAGCAAGCTACCCAATCCACTGCTTCAAGGCTTCATTTTACCCCAAAACGATCAAAAAGTCACATCCAAATCCAAAGAACGTGATCAATCAACGGTACCTTTTCGTACCTTTTCTACCTCTTTAGGAGTTACTATACCTATCAAACCCTGTAAAAATTGGCACCGTCGCCGCCTGGCGTCCAAAGAAGTTTCGGCAGGTGGCCACATCGAGGCCACCCACTGGATCACCATACTTGCAGCGCCTGGGGCACAACTCCAGGACTCATGGCGATGGTGAAACTAAAAAAGTAGCGGAAAATCGGGTGTATTTTACCATCCATGTACCAAGGGTATGGAAAAAATGGTTGTTTTTTTTTTGACATCCCAAAATACATGAGGGACATCGGGTGCAATCCCAAAGTATGGGAAATTCTGGTGTTTTTCCATGTTTTTACATCCCCAAATGGTGGAAATTCTTGCAAAAAAAACATGGAAATTCCTGGTGGAAATCTTACTGTCACAGGAAAATTAGAGAATGGTGAATTTATCAACTGGGGAGATTACCACCCTTCAACCTTCACTGGATTGATTCAAGGGCCATTTCCAACCTGGATTTTGTACCACGCAAACATGGCTGTAAGCCCCGCAACAAAAGGTTTCGCCCAAGTCCGGAGGACATGATTATCCCCAGCCGGGTGAGGGAAAAGAAACACCTGATTGAAAGTATCAATCAGGTTGGTTGAGTTGCTCCCAATTCTGTGATTAATTAATATTAATTATATATGTGTTTTTTGTTGTTGGCATATGTTTACCATTGAATCTTGCGTTTTTGGGTTGTGCATTCCCCGAATATTGCTTGGCTCATGTTGACCTTATTTCCCAATGAAAATCCCATCATTCTCCCCGTTCTTCGTTGATCTCAAGCGGCTTGGCGGGCTGTTCCTGTCCTGCACCAAGCGCAAACGGCCGCTGCGCAAGCAACCAGGAAGCAACGATGACAAATTACCAGTAGGGCACTTAATCCACAATTTCGGGGATGGCAACCTAAAACAGGGTCCCGATTCACGAAAAAGTGGCTGGTCATCTTTGGTATGACAGGATCCATTGCTTTGGGTGAGGGCAATCACTTTTGAACACTTTTCCTCCATACCAATTCTACGGTGGGTTTCATGCTTGACTTTACAGCTTCATCAAAGCTCAGCACGCATGCAAAGAACGATCGCAGGAACACATCTATTCCGCGTCTTGAACAGTTGAAATGATGGGGAAAAGCACATTTGGCTGCAGAATGTTGCAGATTTTGGAATCATCATACTGTACCATGGTACCATCCAAATGGTTCACAAATGGCCTCCTTGTCCAATGGTATTCACCACATCCTCCGAGAGCATGATGCAGCCAGCGCAGGTCCCCCACACCGGTCTGGGTTTTCGCTTCTCACCATCAGCACCAGGTCCTGAAGTGAAAACGAGTGGTGAGACTCTCACCACTCGAACCGCGCTATCAGAGTGAAACGGGCAAGATGTCGCAGGTCAAAGTCAGATGAAGTGCTGACAACCGCCAAGGAAGACGTGTCATGTCCTGAGTCCTAAGATGTTTTTCTATATGTAGCCAGAAAAAGGAGATCGCCCTTGCCTCCGTGCACGTATGCCCGCAGCTTTGCCATGAACCTCAGGAAGAATGTGATCAACATTGATCAACCCAATCATTCATCAATATTCATCCCGAATCTTACCCTACGGTAAACGTTTACATAACTATGGAAAGATCCACCATGTTCAATGGGAAACTCCACTATAATTAAATGGTCATGTTCAATAGCTACAGCTATTTTGACATAACCAGAGGGTACAGTAGACAGCAATGAACTAACCATCCCAGAAAGTCGATGGGGCTCAAATCGTTGGACCCTGGTTTTTGGGCAGTTTCGCTGTGGATTTTTTTGCCAATCACTGGGAGTTCATCATTCTCCCAACATTTTTTCGCTATAACTTGGGGGCCATTTGGGGGCCATCCTGGCCATCCAATTCTACAAACTCAAATTGGATGTTGCTGGCTATAAAATCTCATGACAGATTCCCATGACATATCCTTCGTAATTCATATGCATGTTTCAACAATGGAATCTATAGCCCTATTCTTCAAAAATCATCAAGAATCCCCATGATCATCTATAATTAAACTGCGAGTGAAATATCTATACAATACATCATATATATAATATATAATATAATATATAATATAATATAATATATATATATAATATAATATATAATACATATAATATATATAATTATATAATATCCCCATGATTCCCCATAGAATCTCTGCTCAAATCAACCCGTTTGTTGAGTCCGCGCAACTCGTCGGTTCCGGCGATGATCTTCATGGTCGTGGACTCGCCCCCTGGAATGACCAAGGCTTCGCAGGCGTCCAACTCCTCAATCTTGCGCACCTCAAAGCGCCGATCGGCTCGGGGGTTTGGTTTTTACCGTTGTTTAAAAAGGGGACCAAGATGGAGCAAGGGTCGAAATCTGAGATGAAATTTTACATGAAATCCATAGATGGAAAAATCATGGAACATGATGAAGAAATGATGATGGATTTTATGGTAATTAGTGTATGGTAAAATGCTGGACATGATGGTGCAATTATGGTAGGACGTTTGTGGTAGACCATGGCGACACATGATAAATCTGGCGCAGAATGTCAAAATTCTGATCATGAAGTAATTACCTTGTAGATCATGACGAATCATGATCAATCAATCATGACAGGCTCATCTGACTTTGGAGTTCATAAGTCGATTTTTCTCAGGGATTCATCATGAGAAATGCTCGTATGAATCCCCATTGATCGCAATAGACCCAAAACTCTTGGGACTTGAAGAAGCGTTGAAAAGTGATAAAACTGATCAAAATTGCTATTAAATCTAGTAAACCTCCACCTCCCAGGGGCGCCTGTATCACTCGAAACTGATCCACGAGGTGCTGAGGAAGCTTTTTGAACATTGCCTGGAAGTGAGAACTCTGGCTATGGATTCTGCTATCAATCTCTGGACCCCCTCATGCGGTTGGGGTGCGGGTGAAATTCATGGGTATATATATAATTGTATATATATATAATATAATCATAGTTGCAGGGGTTATATCCCAACTTACCGATACTTATGGAGATTATATATCACCATGCTTAAGTTATAAGTTATACAGTTATAATTTATAAACTATAAAGTTACACCCCATTTAATCATAAAAATATAACCTCAACTGCCCCCCCTAAAAACTGCTTCCGTTTTAGGACCCAGTCCTCATGTTCTTCGAATGCGCCCTGTAGCGCCAAAACGCCAATGGTGCGCCTCAGTAGACTGAGCCACCAAGGAGGATACCTATTGTGTTCTCTAACCAATTTTTGAAGCAAGTAATCCCATTGCCCCAATATTAAAACGCCCCCTTAAATAAACCCTAGTTTAGTCTTGGATCTGTTCATTTTAGAGACCCATATGATAAGATGGGAGGTAATTATTTAATATGAGGGGGATGGGATTAGTAAGGACACTTGGTCCATGACCTTTTTCTGCTAACATTTGTTTGAGGCAAGCGTATCTGAGCAAATTCAGTCTCCAGCACACCACCGGGAGGCGTCTTCAGCTGCGTCATTGGAACTAAAACCGTCTTGATATCCAGAACTTTGATCAACTGGTGACGCACTTTGTGCAAGCAAAAGAATCTCGTCAAGCAATGTTTCAAAGATTTCCAAGTGTTTGAATATTTTGAATACATCTTGCAAAAGGATGCAAAATAGCGCTGATGAAATTTTGCAAAGCTGATGTTCCTCATGGGAGGCATGGGCTACGCCGCTACGCTTCCTGTGGTTTGAGCAAAACTCAAAAGTAAAACACACATGCTGCAGCCGGTTCACACACGCGTCCATCCAAGACATTCCAAACCACCGGGTTTCTGCAAAGGAGCCAGCGACACGTACTGTTCATGTTGGTCTGTGAAGTGGCCCGGATCTTGGAGCCAAAGTCCAAAAGGGCCATACCTCAGTGGACTCCCCCAACCAGCTATCCCTCAAGCGCAGCATCTAGCACGACAGAACTTTGCAGAAAGGCAAAAATAAGGAGGCACCATCATCATCATCATCACCACCATCATCACCACCATCCCACTTTCACATGCTCTTCTGTTTCAGCGATTTTTAGCGAAGCTGTCGGATCTGCCTAGCTGATCCGTGTTTCACACGGATCCAGGCTGGGGCTCCCAACACTCGTCGTGACTGCCAACAGGAGCCCTGAGGTTTTGAGCGCTGGGATTGTCTTCCCACGGTGCCCGGTCGGATGGCCCATTTTGAAACGACCAAGGTCCAATGCCACGAGACCGACACACTGAAGCGACCATCTGCAACCGATGGGAGGCAAACATGGCGGATTTGCTCCGTCGGGTGTGGAACGTACACTCCCAACCTCAGAGGAATCTGTAAAAATTGTAAAATCCCTATTATATGATGGTTAAATAGGATGGTTAATAATGCTTAAATTCCCGATTATATGATGGTTAATACCTTAGAGTCTAGCTGAAATCCTGGATAAGTTTGCGACTGGGGATGCTGGTGCACATACAGCGGCTTGCGGCCCTTCATCTGTGGGTTCAAGAGGTCCTATCATGCCAATCAACAACAATATCAAAAGATATACCCAATCAATCATATTCAAAAAAAAATAACGCAAAAATCACCATATTCACTGCTGAAATGGCACGAAAGTGGAGCATCCTAGCCCAGACACAAACTGGGGACATGTCCTTGAGCTGCTCGTTGTAAATTTCAAGAAATGATGCGGAAACCCGCAACTCCTCGTACTCCTTCGAGGACAAATCGTCTCCGAGTGGCAAGTGAAGATGCAAATAGGGTTTAATGGAGTTTAGTGGAGGTTTAGTGAGATTTAATGGAGTGCCTGCTAGAATCTTTCTGCGCCGTTTGTCAGCTGTCCAGTCTGCAATTTCTTGCTCACAATGACACTCTTTCGGAGGTCCTGCGTGAACAAATTCTGGCACCTAAGCAATAGGATATATCAGGTTTGGACACTTGTCTGCTGCTGCTGCTGCTTGTCCCGGCAACCTCAGCCCATCTTGGGCGCTGGCAATCTGGGAATGAGACCAGGATCTCGTTCATGCCTCTGGTGCCAAGATCATGTGGGCTGTAAGGCCTAGGTGCAACCAAAAACTAAGGCCTGCACCCTAAGACTGTGTAGGTTTTACCGCTTCCAGTCTGTCCATAGGCAAACAAGCACGAATTGAAGCCTGAGCCGTTGCCGCAAAGCATGACAGTTGCCATAGTAGAAAGATGACGGAAGACATTCCCAGGAGGTTTGCCAATTGTTGTCCTCAATCTTTTGGTCGGACTCATTTCCCTGAAATGTCATTAAGCATAGATACATGATAATATATGTACATACAATCACACATCATCATACATTTCTATATGCCCTTCATGTGATACGGGAAGCTCATGCTACTGTCAGGGATGACGATCCGTGCTGGGCGCCTTCCAACGCATTGGAGAGAAGATTTTGGCCGATCGCCTTCCCAGTTCATGGATCATGAGAGCCACCGATGTTTTTTTGGAGTACGTAGTATAATCCCCTAGAAAACTAATATACGTATGTATTGAGTACTATAATCCATTATAATCCCGCTGTAATTGAGTAATTTGAGTAGTACTCTAATCCATTACAATACCACATATTCCCACAGAATCCCCAATTCTTGAATAATTTGAGCAATATAATCCACTAGAATCTCGCTATAATCCCCTATAATTAACAGCATCAGCCGATGCCGGCCTCGTAGACTTGCTCCTGCGTGATGGGAGGAGCATGCGGCTCATCCCTGGCACGCTTGCAGCACTTCTGTCCAAAAATCATCAAAAATAGGTACCCTTTGGTAAATTAACAGTTGGACCCTGAAAATCACCAATTTTTAGAGGAAACTAATCTTCCAACCCCGATGACTACCAGGGTCTATGTTAATTTACTGGACCCAGAACCCTCAAGGAGCGAACAAATTGTCAAGTTGCAAAATTTCCATGTCGAAGCTTCCAGCTACTAGAAATTGGCTTTGCGCTGCAGACATCTGGCAGATCTAGCAGTTGCTTCCTTGCCTTCTGGAGTCATTCGGTTTGACCGAAGACAAGCAATGATCAAAGGAGAAAACCTCGAAAGTCCAACACTCATGAGGATTTAAAGGGATGTTCAATGATTTTAATGGGACTTTAATGGGATTACATCCAAACCCCTTCAGTATCGAACACACTCCGCTGCTAGAAATTGGCGACCAACTTCCGAAAAGCTGCGCTGAGCTCCCAGGCTTTGTCCTCCTCTTGTGGTGGCCCAGCCAACTGGGTAGTTAGCACTTTCAGTCTCAGCACATTCGCGCTTTGTACCTCAGATTCATTGGAGTCCGAAATTTCAGGAAACTTCACAAGAAAAAACCCTGGTTTTTGAAGCCAACCATAGGCATGTCCTGAATATGTTCACAGTCAATTCTGGGACAAATGGCTAGACACCACGTCCGCTAATATGGTTTTGTCATGTTTTGCCTGCGAATAGGTTTATCCCTTCCATCTCATGGTTGAGAACATCACTCCCTGAGTGGCAGGACAGTTGTCCTGCCACAACTGAGGCCGAGAACTGTCACAATCTGCCGCTGCCCCCTCCTCGTGAACAAATGGAGACTTCACGAAACTTTCTCCCGTTGCCAGAGGAATTTGCATCACATAGCCACGAGACTGAGGAATCTGCTCACGAGGTAAGAATGGCCGGATGCGTACTGCAACCTGACAGATCTGACAGCGCCCAGTTGCAGAATGTTGCAGAACACCGCCGATCTATCATAGATTTATCATATATATATATACACACCATGATATAATATATATATATATATATCATATATATCATATATATATACAATATTTATCAAATACCATAGATTTATCATATGTATTTGGATGAAAAATGTCGGATGGCCTGCACGGCCTCTTCGGACATGGCAGCCATGGCAGCCATGGCAGCCATGGCATCTTCATCCGAGCGTGGGTAGCGACCCACAAAGTGGCGGGTCAGAAGTTTGGTCACGTTTATCTTGACGTTTGTCTTTTCATATGGCAGTGTGTCAAAACCATGTACCCCTGGTGAACATCAAAATAGCTGGTAAATGGATGTTCATCCCACTAAAATTGATAGTCATAGGTTTTGACCCAACCCCATATCTTCTCCAGTATCCTGATTCGAAAATATATATGTGTCGAATCCACTTGTCAAGGGGGGTGACATTTCCCACATCATTCTTTGGCATCTTCAAAGTGTCTGATCTTTCAGGTCACTCTAAAAAAGTTGTTCAGCCATAGCCACCGACTAACGAGCACCTGAACCATAGGGGATTACACTTAAAGGTGAATCGTTTTTTATGGGATCTGAGCCAGGATTTCTGGATAGACAGACAAATGGATAGCTGGGTTCGGCTGTGGGCTCTACTGTTCATCAGATACCATCTGGTTATGACTAACATAGCCATGGAAAATCACCATTTTTAATAGTTAAACCATCTATAAATGGGCCATTTCCCATGGCTATGTTAAATAACCAGAGGGTAAAACCTTCCACCTTCTATACTTAGTCACCTATGCAATCCTATGCATACGAGGCCAAGACGCAAGTATGAAAACACATGGTGCAATCGCGCTAGTGAAAGGATGAAATTTCCAGTTGCATGGCACTACTTCGATGCATTTTCATTGTAACCTCCTCCACCACTCGCAAATACTACCCCACCCCTGTGCAGTGGTGCTTCTGGAAGTCACGGGTTGGCGGTATATTATATCAATTCACATTTGTTTGCATGTAATAGTATGTCCATTTATACCAACATGTCTGACATGTCTCAGTTCTAAGGTTTTGCAATACCACCATCCGCCACCCCTTCCCCATCGCCAGGAGCTTCTGGTGAGTCTCTGGCCGTGATTTTTCTCACGAGTTTAGTCCCTAACTCCACCGTCCAGCGTCCAGCTTCATCCGGTCTGTCATCTGCCCTGCGAGCAAATGCATTGGCAAGGTCTGCAAGCAGTTCAACGCGACCTTTTGCAAAAGACATCGATGTTCAAACACACTTCAAGTTCGGAGATCCTCTCATAGTGACATAGTGGATTAGGATGGATTAGGACATTGTAGGCCCTAGAATTTCCATGAAAATCTCCAAGTTTCAGGGCACCAACCTGACATCATGTGACTCTCGAAAATTCAGTCCGTCCAGCCCAAGGGCCCCACCGACATGGAAGCCTCAGACGTTGCCAGAGGTGATAAAAATTGGATGCATTTACCATTCACCTTCCGGAAAATTCGCAAAAGGCGATGAAGATCGATGGGTTTTCCTGGGTTTTCCATATGGGGATGGGTCAAAACCCTGGTACCTAGTGAACCCCAAAATAGCTGGGATTTATGGATGTTCATCCCACTAAAAATGTATCTATAGGTATTGACCCATACCCATATCATTCCAGATCTATACTGAGTTACTGGAGGGTAGCTCATAGAATTAGAGGCCTGGTCAACATAGGCAACAAAAACACACCAAGAAGCAGAACATGAATTGCCGAATCACAAACAGGGGTTTGTCCGGAAATTGGGAACATCTCAAAATTACAATTTAAATGGGAACGCATGATGACAATCCTTTAAAATTGGCGGGTGACTTATTTAAAAACAAACCATATGATATGGTTTGGCAGGCGTGGTAGGCAATGGTCAACATTAACTGGGCTTGTGTGAACAATAGGTAGTCACAAAAATTTGAATCGTTTTTCACACATAAGGATTATCGTTAAAATTATGTTTATCCAAAAAGATTATCATGTTTATTTGGATCGTTAAAATATCACATGTTCAGAGTGATACCCAACTTGTTGGTTGGGATGTCATCAACGGATTCAACGGTCGAAACTCTGAGACCAGTTGTGATCCAAGTGGCTTTGTAATCTGCCATAAATCTGAGCACAAAGGCCTGCGCAATCGCTGGAAGCAATGGATTGGGTACGGGAAACCATGGGAAACCCTAGTCTTTATTACCTCCAAAGTTAGAGGTTTGTGCAGGTGTTCTCTTCAACCAATACGAGGAATCCCTGCTCTGCTCCTTGCACCATTCCTGAAGTTGAAACTGTAAAAACTTTTCCTAAGCCCAAAAACTGACTCAAACATAATTGGATATGGAAATTGGTGACCCTTGGGATTTGGGGATGGTATACAGTCCCGCCTCGATGTGATAGATATCCTGCAATGGCGAGTCACGCGGCATTTAAGCCATGTCTGATCGTTGCGTGCTCTCCTAGTGTCTGTACCAACGTGCCACATGATCATGAGACAGGCATGTTTGCCCGGCAAAATCTTATATCATCCACAATCCGAATTGGTTTTAACAAATCAGGAAACCATCATTCCTCATAGATTTCATAGATTCTCATGATTCTCATAGTACAAACATGTGAAAACCCAGGTTTTCCATAGTTTTCCTGCATGTTCTCCCCCATTTTACCTATCCATTGATCCATCCGCTTCCTTGTTCCCTTGCTTCATGGTGGACTCAAAGTGGGCTGCTGCAGCAATGGCCTGGAAAGGTGCGGGTAGCCATGGAAACATGAAACTGGTCATCTTTATAATTCTATGTATATCTACATATATCTACATATTATATATATATGTATTGAATATATATATATTGAATTATATATATTGAACTATATATATATATATTGAAGTCATTTCGGTCCTGAACCCTAAAACAAATTGGAGGGACATCAAACTAGACCATACTAGACCATTTAAGACATCCAATGCAGGCTAAGCAAGCAACCCGCTTGACGGGTTGAAATTTGCTTCAGGATTCCCTATATGTCCGGCCTTCTGCTTGACGGTGTCATTCTTTAACTCCGCCACCAGCTTAAGCAGAAGCTCCTGGAACTTGTGCAGACTGCTGAATTCTCTTCTTTGGTTATGGATGAAAATGAACCACTTCTGAACCACCAAGTCTGGGAGTGCATACGTTTCAGCCCCCACTTAGATTACTTAGATCCCCGACAAGTGAAATATAGTGAAATCATCCAACTAAAGCAGCGAATCTCCTTCACGATAAAATCTGGTGGCAGGCAAGCAAGGAGGAGCTCGTAAATGTTTCCCCTCACCTTCACCGACACAGTTTGTTTCCCTGCACCACTCATCACCACGTGCCCAGTGCCCAAAGCTATGATGAAAACTCGCACTTCGACCCGTTCGAACGGGACATTTCAGCCACACACCATGGTCCAATGGTTTAAGATGTTTAAGAGAAGAATCTGAACCAGAAACCATGGATTTTCCCATGGATTTTCCCATGGATTTCCCCATGGATTTTCCGGAAAAATCCTGCAGATTTTCCCTTCAACTGATCCATGGACCTCCATCGCCATGCGCGGACTTTGCTCGGTCAAAATCTTCTTCGCCACCTCAATGGGTAAAATTGCGATGCTCAAACTGAATTTATGCATTCGGGAAAACCCAACCAATATACCAATATATCATGTCCAATATCAACATGAATATATATATATAGATATATGTATATAGATCTATACATGTACATATATACAATGCATATATAGATATTGAAATCATTTCATATGTTCACACTGTAGATCATATAGGTTTAGTCCGACAATTCTTTGGCCTTCTCGATGGCGGTTTGCCACGCTTCAGCAGGAATGGCGATGTCCTATCCCGGTGCAGCAGTGATGGGCGGTCCCAAACTGGACAAATGATAGAATATGACAGAGTGAATATATAATATATTATTGTATCTATATATAATTTATATAATGTGTATATATAATATATATATGTATCATAATATTGCTATCATCGCAATCCCGACAAAGTGATAGTGGTGACAGTGAAAACAATTTAGAACGGGGATCATTAAATAGTGTACTGACAAACTACAACAGACCCAAGGAAGGGGAGAAGCTTAAACTTGAACTAAGCCCCGAGATGAATATTTCTGTGCTTTCAGATGCTTTCAGGCATAAGGGCCACAATTCCTGCTTCCGGCTAACCCAACCAACAATATGGTGCCATCATCCTACTTGATTGTCCTCGTTGCTCGAAATTGTTTAGCACGGAAGTTTGGGGGCTTAGGTTCATATCTTATCATATCTTCGACCAATTACAAAGTATTACTATTATCTACGTACTGCCTACATTTATCTACCACATATGACAATATGCACATCTGTGCACATCTGAAGCTGTCTCTGATTTGCCACCAATTCCACCAGAGTTCGCCCCGTAGCCATGTCGCACGCCTTGGACAGCGACGACGCATTTGCCTCGAGGGCTCTCGGCGCACTGCGGTCGTCCAAAGATGTCCACTGAAAGTCACAGATATGCTGTCTTTCTTGATGAAAAGCTGCCCTTGCCTGGGTGTATAACATCTCCAGCATGAGGATGGCACGGCGCCTTGCTGTCTCTCTCTCTCTCTCTTTCTCTCAATGAAAAGCAAACAAAGCCTGCGGAAATCCAGCGAAATCCTCAAACTCAACGGAGTGGAAATGACATGGGAAAATCATCGGTTACTAAATGGGACATTTCCAGCAAGCCAGGTTTGATTGTCAGAGGTATGCAACCACCCAGGACCTATCCAATCTCTAACGAGTCCTTCCAGTCACATTCAGAATTCTCGTTGTGCAGCATAAACCGCCAAATCTCTCCGCATCTTCAGTTGTGTCAACCCAAGGGCGGGGCATATTTCTGCCGGATTTTTCGGCAATCTGACGAGGCAACCAGGGTTTTGTGTAGCATTCCAGGGAAGCATGGTTGCCAAGTATCGCTTGTAGAATGAACTCATAAAACTGGCATTTTTGGATCTCGAGATTATATTGTATATCAAAATGTGTATCTGAATTATGTATGTGTATTACTTATATGTTTACAATATTCATATCATTACATATATATATTTATGAATATATTATCTATTAATCTATGATCTATAC